TCAAACCCTAAACCCTAAACCCTAAACCCTAAACCCTAAACCCTAAACCCTAAACCCTAAACGCTGCCTACATCTACCGGTTTGAGTCACGCTGGGATTGGCGACAGGGGACGCCAGTCAGAAAGCTGGCGGCGGTCAAGCTGCCTGGGCCTTAGGTCTGCTTCCGAAGCTTCTGCTGTGAATGTCGGAGGCAACCCGAAGCCCTAAACCCTAAACCCTAAACCCTAAACCCTAAACCCTAAACCCTAAACCCTAAACCCTAAACCCTAAACCCTAAACCCCATTTCTCAAATCCTAACCCCTGACCTAGAACTTTAGAGTTTAGCTGGCAGGGCTTCGGGCTTGGTTTCAAGCATATCCCAGATGCTTGCCGGCCAGTGGTGCCCTTATGCGTTCGTTTTGTGCTTGGGGTTTAGGGTTTAGGGTTGAGGGTTTAGGGTTTAGGGTTTAGGGTTTAGGGTTTAGGGTTTAGGGCTTAGGGCTTAGGGTTTGCCTACGCGTGTGTTTGTTTTAACTTGTTTTTGAGTGTGCAGTATCATTCAATGTGGTAGCGTTGGAATGTTGAGTCTCCCCGAAGTAGGGGAGGGGGGCAAATAGTCCAGCTCTAATCATCCGGGTTCACTTCAGAAACGCCTCCCGCCTTTATTGAACCGTTTTTTTCACTGTTGTGTTGTACAGCTCGTGTTTTTTCGGCGTTGAATGTTTTGGTGTAGAAGCTCAACCCAAATGTGATTTCAGTCATGTTGGGTGAACTACCGGAAGAGCCACATAAACCAGATTTGGTTGACAACCCCTTAAACCCATTGCAGGAACACGTAACACGCATACTGGCAAGAACCAAATGGATATCCAATAGTACAAACAAAGCCGAAAAAACAAAATAGAACTATTAATCTAAACGCATCCGAATGTGGTCTGATTATAGTAGGCTATAGTAGGTTAGGTTTTAAGTCCAATATAGACAGAATGAACTTGAAAAACTATGGATACGCATTCGTTCAGCTGTAGGGTAAAAAACCATGTGGCGCACTTGAGTTCCATATCACGCAAGGTAATTATGTGAAGCCTACAGGCCTGAAGCCCTGTTTTCGGTTAGGAGGGAGTTCAGTAAACCCCGCCCTAAACCCTAAACCCTAAAACCCTAAAACCCTAAAACCCTAAAACCCTAAAACCCTAAAACCCTAAACCCTAAACCCTAAACCCTAAACCCTAAACCCTAAACCCTAAACCCTAAACCCTAAACCCTAAACCCTAAACCCTAAACCTTAAACCCAAACCCCAAACCCCAAACCCCAAACAAACCTTGTTCTCGCGAGGTGCCGAAGGCGAAGCAAGAGCTGCGCACTCGGCAGTCTTGGGTTCTTGTTGGCGGGCTTTTCGGGTTTAGGGTTTTAGGGGCTTTTGGGTGGTGTTTGGTTTTTTTTAAATGCTTGTGGGGTTTAGTGTTTTTTGGGGGTCTTTAGTTTTTTTTTGGGCTTTAGATGTTGCTAGGTTTTTTTGGGGGGTTTAGGGTTTTTTTTAGGGTTTTTAGGGTTTTTAGGTTTTTTAGGGTTTTTAGGGGTTTTGGGGTTTCTACTACTGTTTTTAGCTTTTTGGGGAGTTTAGGTTTTGTTTTGGGGATTTTAGGGTTTCTAGGGGCTTTAGGTTTTTTAGGGTTTTTACGGTTTTTGGGGGTTTGAGGGCGTTTAGGGGCTTCAGAGGTGTTAAGGGTTTCTTGGGTTTTTAGGGTTTCTAGGGTTTTTAGAGTTTCTGTAGGGTGTTTAGATGCTTTTAGGACTTTCAGGACTTTTGGGGGTGTTAGGATTTTTCGGGTTTTCGGTGTTTTGGGTTATAGGACGCAGGGCGTTGAGGATTTAGGGACTTATAAAAGGGTTGTAGGGACCTAGGATTTTGGGGCTTGAGGGTCTCAGGCTTCAGGGTTTTAGGGTTTCAGGGTTTTAGGGACACCGGGTTTTAGGGATTTGGGGGTTTCAGGGATTTTTGTTTTTCAGGGGTTGGGCGGTTCGGGTTTTAGGGATTTTAGGGTGTGAGGGTTGCTGTTTGCGGGGTTTAGGGTTTAGGGTTTAGGGTTTAGGGTTTAGGGTTTAGGGTTTAGGGTTTAGGGTTTAGGGTTTAGGGTTTAGGGTTTAGGGTTGTCCAACTATCAGGGTCTTGGAGTGCCCTCCAGATTGGGTTTAGGGTTTAGGGTTTAGGGTTTAGGGTTTAGGGTTTAGGGTTTAGGGTTTAGGGTTTAGGGTTTAGGGTTTAGGGTTCAGGGTTCAGGGTTCAGGTTTCAATGGGTTCATGGGCAGTTTTGCGTGGGGGTTGTAAGCAGGGTGGCCACAGCTATATCTGGTCATCACCCTGTTGAGGGTACTTCTAACCCTACTTACGTAGACCCTAAACCCTAAACCCTAAACCCTGAACCCTGAACCCTGAACCCTGAACCCTGAACCCTGAACCCTGAACCCTAAACCCTAAACCAAGTGCTCTTGGCATCGACCCATGGGGGTGGTGATGCAGCAGAGGTGTGGTGGCTCCCATGCCGTCCAAGCCCGATGCCGCGGTGGACATCGTTGAAGAGCCGTTGCCATGTAATTCAGGATGCAGGGAGTATCTCAAATCTGCAATCTGGGACATGTAAAGAACTTGCCGGGACATTTCCCCCCTTTTACCTATCTATCGTAACCCCCTACTATCATCCCTATTCAGGACTCTTAGTAGAAGGGGGGGACATCCCCAAAGAATTTGCTCCAAGAAACTTTCAAGGAAGCCTTGGAGCTTCGCAGTTGTACAGCTTCCTCCAACAGCGGTGAAGGTGCGCTCTGTTCTGGAATTCGCATGTGGCCACCCGCGCCAAGCTGACTTGCTTGAGCGGGGGCCACGATGTCTTGTGCTTAGCACGTGGAAAATCGTGGAAACCACTTCACCCTTCAAATGCTTGGGCGAGGTTTCCGACTCCGACTCACGGGACTTTAAGACACAGATCAGGCCAAGGAACAACAGGATGTACCTTGATTTGTGGAAAGTTCCTTTTTAGTTCTGAAGAGGGCAAAATGCACTCAAGGATGATGATGATGATGCTGGCTGTACAGGGCCTGCGCACAAGGCAGAGAGTCATGGAGCTCTTCTCTCTCACAAGGCAGCTGGTGCTTGGGGTCATGCTCTAGTTGATGTGAAGGGGTCCTTATGAAAGAGAATCCTACTATTTGGCGATCTAAACTGGGGTGCTTCTTGACCCAAAACCCAAAACCCAAAACCCAAAACCCAAAACCCTAAACCCTAAACCCAAAACCCAAAACCCAAAACCCTAAACCCTAAACCCCCCTGACGCTCCAAGATTGCTCACCGCGATGCAGCAAAGAGCTTCACTGTGCAGGGCACAAGCCATGAAGGCTCAGGCTGCCGTAGCCACAGTCACCTCCCCTAAGCCCGAAGCCCTAAACCCTAAACCCTAAACCCTAAACCCTAAACCCTAAACCCTAAACCCTAAACCCGAAACCCGAAACCCTGAACCCTAAACCCTAAACCCGCTTTTGGATGGTTCGAAAGCACCTGTGGGGGTGCGAAGCTACGGGGGTCCTGAGATGCTGTTGAAGGCACGGCCCGCGCCGACCGACTCTGTGACATCCTGGGCCGTAAGGGCAGTTTAGGTTTTCAGGCAGAAGCAAACCTAAACCCTAAACCCTAAACCCTAAACCCTAAACCCTAAACCCTAAACCTTAACCCTAACCCCTAAACCCAAAACCCTAAACCCTACACCCTAAACCCTTGTCAAAACCCTAAACCCTAACACCAAAACCCAATGGCCTTGCCAAAGCACCAGCTCTGCCATACTTGCAGTCAGGCGGCCCGCGATGGCGATCTGGAGGTTCGCAGCGTGTTGCGCGATTCGGAGATATGGGGTCGTTCCCCTAAACCCTAAACCCTAAATCCTAAACCCTAAACCCTAAACCCTAAACCCTAAACCCCAAACCCTAAACCCTAAACCCTAAACCCTATACTCCAAACCCTAAACCCTAAACCCTAAACACAATTGTGCAGGTACTTTGACTCCAGTTCCTTTAATTTTGGTTTTCTGTTTATGCAGCTCATCACCGGCATTGAGTTCGGGATAGGCTCGGCCGTGTTTCGCACTCCTAGGATGCCCAGTAGTACCCTTATTTCCTTTTTGGGGGGTTTAGGTTCCCGTATAAACCCCTTTAAGCAAAAAAGGGCACCCTTTTTAAGCCTAGGTTACTGGGCAGCCTAGACTCATATTCTTGAGCTTCAAAGCATACGTAGGAATGAGTCCAGTTGCTCTCAGCGATTAAATGTTCTCCTTACCTTCTTTTCTGATCGGCCTCAGCTTCCACGCTGCAACGGGATATCTTCACCCTCAACCCGAAACCCTAAGCAGCTCTTTCGCTGGAATTTGGATATGCTCTTGGCTGCTGTGGTTTTCTAGAGGCATAGCACGTTCTTGAATGTTCTCCGAGGCTGCCACGCTTTCGCGTGGCAGCAAGGGCTGCTCACAACAAGGCAGAGTCAACCCGCAGAGGGGTTACCAACTCCAGTTGAAGGGTTGTCACGGAAAGTGATTGATCCATCCGAGTGCATTGTAAGTTTAGTCGTGGCGAACAGGAGGCTCATCCCTCACCAGGCAAACACAAGCATCGGGAGCTTGTGGAGAAAACATCGGAAGTGGGGGCTTCAGTCGGAGTCGTGGGGGCTTCAGTCGGAGTCGCTTCAGGCTTTGGCCATCTCAGCTTAGGGAGCACAAGTTTGTGTCTTGGTCATCATGCAGAGGGTCAAAGCTCCCACCACAGCAAGCGCTCAGGGTTCTCTACGTGGGCATTGCCCTAAACCCTAAACCCTAAACCCTAAACCCTAAACCCTAAACCCTAAACCCTAAACCCTAAACCCTAAACCCTAAACCCCAAACCCTGAACCCTGAACCCTGAACCCTAAACCCTAAACCCTAAACCCGAAACCTTAAACCCTAAACCCTAGAAACCCAAACTTCGCACCTTCAAGAGATCATGACTTGCTTGGCGGTACTGGGTGGGATCGCCAAGTTTCACAAGAGCTTCGCGCGCATGTTGGCGGCTTCTCGCGCGCCAGTCTCGCCAAGGCTGGGCGAGCGGTTCTGCTGGTTTCTTTCATGATGATGCCCTGTCTGTCTTTACAAATGGAAACCTGTTCCCTAAACCCTGAACCCTAAACCCTAAACCCCTAAACCATAAATACCTGTCACGGGGGTTCCGAACTCAGACCTTTGGCCCCATACAGAGGTTCTAAGAGCCTCTGGGGCTTTGGGGCCCCGAACCCCTCATCACTCAACTGTTCGAATGAAACCCGAAATCTCAAATCCTCTATGCCGAATCCAAATCCTGAGCCAGCCCCCCCCCCCCTCCAAAAAAACAACCCTAAACCCTAAACCCTAAACCTTAACCCTAACCCCTAAACCCTAAACCCTAAACCCTGAACCCTAAACCCTGAACCCTAAACCCTAAACCCTAAACCCTAAACCCTAAACCCTAAACCCTAAACCCTAAACCCTAAAAGCCAGAGCACTTCCAATGGTGAGGCAGGCGAGGCATGCGGCTGCAAGCAGCATCTTCAGAGCCCCAGCCGTGACGCAGGGCTTCCAGCGGCTGCAGAGGTTTGCTGCGGGTCTGCTGGGGGTTTGAAGGGCTTTAGGGTTTAGGGTTTAGGGTTTAGGGTTCTGAAGCTTCCCACACTGCAACCAAAAGCCCTCACCACATCCTCGAGCCCTGAACTAACTCACAAAGGCTTTGCTTTTCATTGGTTTGGCGCCCCAAGCAACCACCCCTGCACTCCCCGACTTGGAGGTTCATGGGCAGGTAGACCTGGGGTTCTAAGTCAGGCAATTATAGATATAGCTGGTGATAGCCTTGTTTAGGGCACTTACAACTTATCACCCTTATAACCCTACGTATAACTGCGCGTGAACCTTCAAGCATACACCCCCTAATCCCTCTTCAGGACTGTTATAGTATAGGGGGGGGGAACACTTGGAGGTTCATGGTACTTATTAGCCAATTATAAATGTACGTATAGCTGTACTTATAACCATATTGGGGCACTTAAAGGGCTCATAAGTGGGTTTAATTGGTTAGCAAGTGCCATGAACCTACAAGCATCCCAACCCGAAACCCTAAACCCTAAACCCTAAACCCTAAACCCTAAACCCTAAACCCTAGACCCTCAACCCTAAACCCTAAACCCCAGGCACCTGCCCTCCCTCAGCCTCTTGGGCTGCACGGCCCTCGCGGGCCTCCGCTCGCGGCCGCGGCAGAGACGCGCGGGACCTGGCGTTGGGGACCCTACTTGGAGGTTCATGGTGCTTGTTAACCAATTAAAACTGTACTCATGACCCACTTATCAGCCCTTTAAGTGCCCCAATATGGTTATAAGTACAGACATGCGTACTTTTTATAATTGGTTAATAGGTACCATGAACCTCCAAGTAAACCAAAAAACCCTAAGCTCTAAACCCTAAACCCTTAATGCCTTGACTTTCCGCCCTAGAATGCTTTAGCCAGCTCCGCTGCTGGAAATCGCAGGGTGCGGGTTGCGGGGCCTCCACGGAAAAGCCGCCGACCCCCCCCCCCCCACCCGCCCCCCAACACGCCGCCAGGGTGGGTTTAGGGCTTATAGGGTTTAGGGTTTAGGGTTTAGGGTTTAGGGTTTGTGGTTTAGGGTTTAGGGTTTAGGGTTTGGAGTTTAGGGTTTAGGGTTGAGGGCTTATTTGAATGCGGCAACTCAGTATGGAGGCCAGCTGCTTGCCGGAAGAGCTGTGGCAAACGAAGCATCGCGAAGGCCCGAGTGAAAACACGACAACTTCGGGTTTAGGGTTTAGGGTAATTACGGGTTTAGGGTTTAGGGTTTAGGGTTTAGGAGCATTCAGGGTTTATGGATGAAGTTTTTGGGTCACGGCTCGCACGCTTCCAGGCAGACTAGACCCTGTAGAGCCCTGGGCCCCTCGCCGTAAACCCGAAACCCTAAACCCTAAACCCGAAACCCTAAACCCTAAACCCTAAACCCCAAAGCCTGTGCAGGTTTCCCTAAACCGGAAAGACCTCGCACCCTGCACCGCCCAACTCCTGCTTGACTTAGAATTCTTGTTTATGCAAAGCCCAAGGGAATGCGACACCTATTGCAACACCCTATGTTGATCATGGTTCTAAAGGGGGTATCCCGATGTAGCCCTACGTGGAGGTTCATGGCTAGTTAGATCTGGGGCTATAGGTCAGGCGACTATAGTCAGAAGTGTTTCTAGCCTTATTAAGGGTACTTTGTAACCATACCTTTCTGGGTAAGGGGTACCTTCTTGGGGTCCTTGTTCTCAGGGAATCCAATTATTTGGGGATTTTTGTAAGCTCCCATATCTACTGGGGTATCCCGAAACCCTAAACCCTAAAAACCCTAAAAGCCCTAAAAACCCTAAAAACCCTTAAAGCCCTAAAAACCCTAAAAACCCTAAAAACCCTAAAAACCCTAAAAACCCCTAAAAACCCTAAAAACCCTAAACCCTAAACCCCCCAAAGGCTCGAGATCTCGGGCGACGACTTCGTGCTGGACGGGCAAACGCACCGCATCCTCTCCGGCTCCGTCAGCTCCTCCAGGGTTTAGGGTTTAGGGTTTAGGGTTTAGGGTTTAGGGTTTAGGGTTTAGGGTTTAGGGTTTAGGGTTTAGGATGAGTTCTTCTCTTGTTTCGCGGTTTTGGGGTTTAGGGTTGAGGGTTTTGAGGGTTTGGGGTTTTAGGCTTTTGGGGTTTTTGGGTTTTGGGGTTTTGGGGTTTTAGGTTTTCGGGTTTTAGTGTTTGGGTTTTAGGGTTTTGGGTTTGCGGGTTTTCGGTTCTGGGTGTTGGGTTTTGCGGCTGAATTACCGCTTAGGGCTGTAGGGCTTGGGGTTCAATTAGTCCCCCCGCCCTGCCCTACACTCCCTGAAGCCTCAGGTTACTTCCGGGTGCTGCCTCCCCAATGGCGGGACCGCCTGGAGAAGCTGAAAGCATTGGGATGCAATTCTGCAGAGGTGCGGACTAGGGTTTGGGGTTTGGGGTTTGGGGTTTGGGGTTTGGGGTTTGGGGTTTGGGGTTTAATTAGGGTTTAGGGTTTGGGGTTTGGGGTTTTAGGGGTTAAGGCTTAAGGTTTAGGATTTATGGTTTCGGGTCCGCCTGTGAAGTTTGCGCCTAGAGCAGGGGAGGAGTCTTTGTGCCAATGTCGTGTCAGGAGTGTATCCTATCACCATGGCTTTCTCGGATGTCGGGGCTAAACCCTAAACCCGGAACCCGTGCTTTTTTTGTTGTGGGCGCTTTTTTGCCGTGGGTGTTTTTGCCGGGCCGCCCCCGGTGAGTGAGTGACCTGGCGCGCAGTGCCCCCGCACCCGCAAAAAAAAACAAAAACACGCCCCGCCCGCAGCAAAGAAAATGCGCCCCCTCCTGCGGGCGTTATTTCCGGGGCCTCCGCCGGTGAGTGAGTGACCTGGCGCGGGGCTGCCCCCACACCCCCCCCCCCCCCCCCCAACACCCCCGCTTTTTAAGCCGGGCAAGCTTGATTCAAAGCATACGAATCCCTTCCAACCCATGATGCTAGCATTGTGTTTGCAAATCGGGGGGGGCTGCGCCCCCCCCCCCCCCCCCCAACCCCCGCTTGTGTTTTTTTTTATTATGCCGGGCAAGCTTGCTTGAAGGCATACGAATCCCTTTCAAACCCATGATAAGAGCATTGTGTTTGCAAATGGGGGTGCTGCGCCCCCCTCAACCCCCGCCGCTTTTTTAAGCCGGGCAATTTTGCTTCAAGGCATACCAATCTCTTCCGAACCCACGTGCGCACATTGTGTTTGCAAATCGGGAGGGCTGCGCAGCCCCAGGCCCCCCCCCCCCTGAAAAAGCGGAATATATGATATGATTGCTTCCTACAAAAATTCAGAACATGTAGTGGATCCTTCCGAACCCCGAACCCCGAACCCCGAACCCCGAACCCCGAACCCCGAACCCCGAACCCCGAACCCCGAACCCGTAACCCCAAACCTTAAGCCCTAAGCCCTGAACCCTAAGCCCTAAGCCCCCTAGCGCCTGAACGAGGTCTACGTGCCCTGGAACCTCCACGAGCCCGAGCCTGGGGTGTACAACTTCGAGGGCCGCTGCGATCTCCCAGCCTTCCTCTGCCTCTGCCAGGAGCGTTTGGGGCTGCGCAGGGTTTAGGGTTTAGGGTTTAGGGTTTAGGGTTTGTATAGGGTTTTAGGGTTTAGGGTTTAGGGTCTGGGAATCGGGAAGGCTTCAAGGTTTGGGGTTCGGGGTTGGACGAATGGTCGGGGCAATTTAACATTTTGCTTCTGTCCGAAGAAGGGAACCTGTTCAGATAGAATATTCCAAGGCTTTAAAAGGTTGTAGGTCACTTGGACTCCATTTTTCGTCTCGCAGTTTTGGGTTTTAGGGTTTCAGGGGGCACATGTGGCTATTTTTTGTTGGCCCCTGGTTATTTCGGAGCCTTGACGCCACTGGAGCACTCACCAGATGTGGGCAGCGGAGGCGTGGATCCCCATACCTAAACCCTAAACCCTAAACCCTAAACCCTAAACCCTAAACCCTAAACCCTAAACCCTAAACCCTAAACCCTAAACCCCAAACCCTAAACCCTAAACCCTAAACCCTAAACCCTAAACCCTAAACCCTAAACCATGCTTCCCCTAAACCCCAAACCCTAAACCCTAAACCCTAAACCCTAAACCCTAAGCCCTAAACCCCAAGCCGTAAACCTTGAACCCCAAACCCTAAACCCTAAACCCTAAACCCTAAACCCTAAACCCCAAGCCCTAAACCCTAAACCCTAAACCCTAAACCCTAAACCCTAAACCCTAAACCCTAAACCCCAAGCCCTAAACTCTAAACCCTAAACGCCCCCTAAAGTGTGCCAGGAGCTGGAGCTGGATGTGCTCCTTCGGCCTGGCCCATACATCTGTGCCGAGTGGGACTTCGGTGGCCTTCCCTGGTCTGAGCCTTACGCCAAGGGGGTTTAGGGTTTAGGGTTTAGGCTTTGGGGCTTCAGGGTGTAGGGTTTAGGGTCTGGGGTCTAGGGCTTACGGCTTTAGGGTTTTAGGGCTTTAGGGCGATAGGGCAAGAGGGTTTGGGGGTTTAGGGTTCAGGGTTTGGGTTTAGGCTTCAGGGTTCAGGGTTTAGGACTTAGGGTTTATGATTTTTGATCCCCAAGTGGGCTGAGCTAACTTACGGGCCTGTTGGGTCTCCGAAGCTAGCGAGACCCAAAGAGCCCCATAGTTTAAGATCCACCGAGCTTGCAATGAGCCCTTCGTACTTCGATGCAGGGTGCACCCATCAGGAAGCGTGATGCGCCCTATGCTATGGCTATCAGCCCAAAACCCTAAGGATCGTCCCCCCAGCTCCATCACTCCGAAGCGGCCCTGAGGTAAGTTATCTGAAACCCTAAGCCCCAAGCCCCAAACCCCAAGCCCTAAACCCCAAACAAACCCTAAACCCTAAACCCCAAACCCTAAACCCCAAACCCCAAACCCCAAACCCTAAACCCTAAACCCTAAACCCTAAACCCTAAGCTCCAAACCCTGAACCCCAGAGCACCGAAGGTGGCTCCTGCGGGGCCGGGACCCGGTGCCCCTGCGCTCCTCGGACCCCCAGTTCTTGGAGGCGGTGGAGAGGCGGATTTGGGGTTTAGGGTTTAGGGTTTGGGGTTTAGGGTTTAGGGTTTGGGGTTTGGGGTTTAGGGTTTGAGGTTTAGGGGTTCGAGGTTTCGGGGTTTAGGGCTTGGGTTTAGGGGAGTCCACTTAAAGACTCAGGGGGCTCAACACCTTTGAATTCAGACAAGCTTACCTCAAACGATGATGACGATGATGACGATGATGACGATGAAGATGATGATGATGATGATGATGATGATCATGATCATGATCATGATCATGATCATGATGGTGTTGCTTACTATGAATCACGTATCCATTCCTCAGCTCACGGCTCCGGCAATTTCCAGAGTCTAATACATACATGTTACATATAATATTATACGTATATATATATATATATATACATATACATATACATATACATATACATATACATATACATATACATATACATATACATATACATATACATATACATATACATATACATATATGTATATGTATATGTATATGTATATGTATATGTATATGTATATATATATATATATGTATATATGTATATACCCCAAGAGAATCCATCAGAGAATCACGCAGAGCATCCCTGGAGCGCCAGGGGTTTTTGGGCGCAATGGACGCTTTGTTCTGGGGTGTGGGGTTACCATGCTTGGAGGTTCAGGGGTTGAGGGTTTAGGGTTTAGGGTTTCGGGTTGGAGGTTCAGGGGTAGTTATATCTGCGGTTCTAAGTGGGATAACTATAGTTTAACGTATTTACAACCCTATGGCTACCCATGCACCTTCAAGTGGGTTCGAGCTCTTGGCCCCCCAGCAGCTCGCTTCTGCAAAGCCGGCGCTGAGACGCCTCGGCTTGCGTTCTGTCGCGAGGTGGTGGTGTGGCGAGCTGCTGCCGCGAATCCGCCCGCACCTGGCGAGCAATGGGGGTTCGATCATCGCCATGCAGGTGGGAGATGATGTTGTTAGCCATATTAAGTTTTCAGGTTTAAACCAAGCCGGATATTCGTCTTAATTTTATTGACAAAAATATTGGTATAAATATTGGGAGGGCTTGGCAGTTCCCGTTTTATGGCCTCAGCGCCTAACGCCGAACTTCACGGCTGCGACACGGAAGCTTGACATCTCTAATTAGGATCCTTCACCGTCTGTGTAGTGCCGGTGTGGCGGCTAGAATTCTGTACCCTAAGCCCTAGACCCTAAACCCTAAGCCCTAAACCCTAGAACCCAGACAGCTCCGGGCTTCTTTTTGAAGGTGGAAAATGAGTACGGCTACTGGGGCATCGACCCTGGCTATTTGGAGAAGCTGCGCGCAATGCTGTAGCTGGGCTGATTGTGCAGCTCAGAGCCCAGGGTGTGTACATACATTTATATACATATATTATTATTTATTAAATGTACATAGGTATTTAAGTAAGCCTATGTATAAGAATTTAATATGTATATCTACATGTATACATATAATATTCTATAATATGAGATAATAAAATATAACATAACATAATATAATATAATATAATATGATATGCTTTCGAATCTAACCCCAAACCCCGAACCCCAAGACCATACACCCTAAAACCCTAAAACCCTAAAACCCTAAACCCTAAACCCTAACCCCTAAACCCTAAACCCTAAACCAAAAACCCCAAACCCCAAACCTCAAGCCCTTCGGGTTTGCAGAAGAGGGGGCTTTCGGCCCCAAGGCTTGACACCCTGGGCTCCGAGTGCCCCCTGCTCTTTACCAGCGATGGCACCTTCTGGCCAGACCTACAGGTGCACCTGGGGGGGTTTAGGGTTTAGGGCTTAGGGTTTAGGGTTTAGGGTTTACGGGGTTCAGGGTTTAGGGTTTAGGGTTTAAGGGTTCAGGGTTTAGGGTTCAGGGGTTTAGGGTTTGGGGGTTCAGGGTCTAGGTTTTGGGGGTTTAGGGTTTAGGGTTTAGGGGGTTTAGTGTTCAGCATCTCATGTTCTGTCTTTCACTAGTCCGGCAGCTCTTCAAGAAATACCCACCCGCCTCAGAAATTACAAAATTTATAAACCCTAAACCCTAAACCCTAAACCCTAAACCCTAAACCCTAAACCCTAAACCCTAAACCCTAAACCCTAAACCCAAGAGCCCTGAGTCGCCCCAAACCCTGGGGGCCCCCAAAGCCCGAGAGCCCCAAAGCCCTGCCCCAGGCCCCGAGGGCCGTGCCTATGCCCAATAATAAGGTTTAGGGTTTCGGGTTTAGGGTTTAGGGTTTAGGGTTTAGGGTTTAGGGTTTAGGGTTTAGGGTTTAGGGTTTAGGGGGGCATAGGCGCGGCTCCTTTTTGGGCATAGCCACTTTGACTTTGGTGGAGGCGTGCCTATGCCCAATAAGGTGTTTTCATCGTCATGAGTTCAACCTCCTTGAGTCCCTCCGATACCTAGGATCGGAATCCCCCAATCCCCTAAACGCTTAGATGAGCCTGAGCCTCCTAAACCCTCTACACCTAACCCCCCTAAATCTGGGACATCCCCGAAATCCCCTACATCTCCTCCCCCGAAGCCCCTAAAGCCGCTAAAGCTTTCTAGAGCGTCTAAGCCCGACAACCCAGACCCCCTGGGAGGATCCAAAAAGTAGAACCCCCCAAAAGTGGGTCATTCTTAGGAACCCTCCAAGGGCTCCTACCCTAAAGGGGCCCGGGGAAACCCAAAACCCAAACCCAAAACCCTAAAAACCCTAAAAACCCTACAAACCCTAAACACCCTAAACACCCTAAACACCCTAAACACCCTAAATACCCTAAACACCCTAAACACTCTAAACACCCTAAACACCCTAAACACCCAAACACCCTAAACACCCTAAACACCCTAAACACCCTAAACACCCTAAACACCCTAAACCCTAACCGCGGGGAGGCCAATGGGGGCCTGGACAGCATGCTCCGCACCGCCAACTTCGGCTCCGAGCCGAGCCAGAGGCGTCTTAGGGTTTAGGGTTTGGGGTTTAGGGTTAGGGTTTAGGGTTTAGGGTTTAGGGTTTAGAGTTTAGGGTTTAGGGTTTAGGGTTTCTCGCCGCGCCGCGGCAGTAGATGTCATGCCCAGATGGCGCCCCAACACACCCAGGGGGTGTGAGGCGGCTTATGTCGCGGCGGCGTATATTTAATTTGGACCCATCACAACCAGCTTACGCAGGCATCCACCCAACTTTTTTCCTTTTAGAGTTTCGGGCTAAACGACCTAAACTCTCACTTCCCACCTGCTAGGCTTTGGCAGGGGTTTTTGAACAAGCGACGGCATACAATGCCAACATCCTAACCTTTGGTCAGGGCATTTGAAAGACAGGGCATGTGAAAACCATGCTCAAGGCATCAGATTTGATTATGATTATAGTAATTCTAGCAGTTCATGGAATTCGTTCGCGGCCCAGGGGTCACAGGGTGGGGCAATCGCCCTGCCTGACCTGCCTTGCGGCCCCTCTGGTCCCTGGACACGCTCCGGAAGGGGTCCGGCTCCAGGGGCTACAGAGGGGGGCCCCCAGGGCGCCGCACAGAAGGGTTTCTTAATACTTAAGGGAGGCGGGGCACCCCAGGCGGGGTACTGCACCGGCACTGGAGGTGCAGCTCACGCTCAACACAACTCTTTAGGCTTGCATAGTAAGTCCAAGCGATGGTGTTAATGGCTGTCGGGTGTAGCTTTGGGTCCAGGCACCCTAGAAAAGGGTTGGGTACGGCCTAAGCAAGCCTGGGTGGGAAATTAGGGTTTAGGGTCTAGGGTTTGGGGGTTTAGGGTTTAGGGTTTAGGGTTTAGGGGTTAGGGTTTAGGGTTTAGGGTGTAGGGTTTGGGGTTTAGGGTTTAGGGTTTGGGGTTTGGGGGTGTGGAGTTTAGGGTTTGGGGTTTGGGGTCTAAAGTTTAGGTTGCAGGGGTTTAGGGGTTTAGGGGGTTTAGGGGGTTAGGGGGTTTAGGGGGTTTAGGGGGTTTAGGGGGTTTAGGGGTTTAGGGTTTGGTACTCGAAACGCTTCTGGGTCGGGGGCTATCACAGCACCAAAGGTTGCAAAACAAACCCTCCCTAAGCCATCAACCATGCTAGGCTCCTCCAGCCCCAATCCCCCAAGCCCCAAACTTCTGGGGTTTAGGGTTTAGGGTTTAGGGTTTAGGGTTTAGGGTTTAGGGTTTAGGGTTTAACTTAGGGGGCCTCCAGCCGCGCCTGAGAGGCTCCCTGAGCTGCGCGCCGCACAGCCCCGAGGGCCCTTGTGCAACATGGAGTTCCTTGGTTTAGGGTTTAGGGTTAGGGTTAGGGTTTAGGGTATAGGGTTTAGGGTTTAGGGTTTAGGGTTTAGGGTTTAGGGTTTCGGGGTTTAGGGTTTTAGGGTTTAGGGCTTAGGATTTAGGATTTAGAGTTTAGAGTTGGTTCTTAGGGTTCAGAGGGTTTAGGGCTTCGGGCTCAAGGATGTTTGGGGTTTGTAGGGCTTCTTCTCAGCGGGTTCTTAGGGTGCAGAGGGTTTAGGTCTTAAAGATGTATGGGGTTACAGAGCTTGTAGATTTTTACAGAGAGTGGATAGCGTTTGTGGGGCTTAAAAGGGTGGAGGGTTCTTATAGGGATTCGATCAGGGGATGGGGCCACGGGGTTAACTGACACCTTACTTCATAGCAATGACCCCCCTTTTTCTGGGCCCAAGTAATTGAGAAAAACCGTTATCTGCCCCTCTTATACCCTGCCAAACCCAAGGGCTTATAGTTCAGAACCCTTCAAAGAAGGTGAGGGACCATATTTAGGGCCCATGTAACCCTAAACCCTGAAGCCTCAACCCTAAACCCTAAACACCCTCCTAAGCCCTGAACCCTAAACCCTAAACACCCTTGATTGAGGGACCGTATTCAGGGACCACGTGTTTTTCCTGAGAGGATAAGGCCTATTCCTGAGGGCTCTTAGGATCCCGGGCTCTTGGGCTCTGTGCGGGTTTAGGGTTTAGGGTTTAGGGTTTAGGGTTTAGGGTTTAGAAGAACAGGCCTCTCATCCCCGAAAGAAGACATTCTATTCTGGAACACCTTAGTAGGCGAGGAGGAGTGTCCTTAATGCTACCCTCCCCTCCACCCCCGAAGCATGACATGTGCCTATGACAGAATGTCCGTAGAGCAAGTGGAATGTCTGATGTTCGTCGCGTTTCTGATGCTAGTACTGTGCCTCCGTGAATAGAGAAGGTAGGCCAAGGGCCAGGCCTCATTACGTAGACCTGCTGTGGACCACCCTCAAAGCCCAAAACCTCACCCGGAAACTTTTAAACCCTAAACCCTAAACCCTAAACCCTAAACCCTAAACCCTCAACCCTCAACCCTCAACCCTAAGCCCTAAGCCCTAAACCCTAAACAGCAAACCCTAAACACTCCGAAAGCAGCCAAGGTTCTGGATAGGCCCGGCAAGGGTTTGAGGGGAAGCGGAGAGGGGACCGAGGGTTTCGATGACCACTTTGTCGTGTGCTGCGTTGAGGGGACTTGCCAAGAAAGGCTCATGAAGCCCCAACAGACCAGACTTGGAGGTTCATGGGTAGGTAACCATAGTTAAAACCCTACTTATAGCGGCATGCGGATCAAAAACAAATGTATTTAGGATCAAGAAATAATTTTTTGTTCTTCCGACGGAGAGAGAAGGGAGGGAGGGAGGGAGGGAGGAAGGAAGGACGGAATCAAGGAAGGCGGGAAGGAAGGAAGGAAGGAAGGAAGGAAGGAAGGAAGGAAGGAAGGAAGGAAGGAAGGAAGGAAGGAAGGAAGGAAGGAAGGAAGGAAGGAAGGAAGGAGCCCCTCCCAACGCCCCGCTTTTCGGGCAAGCTTGCTTCAAGGCACCCCCTCCCCCCCCGGTTGTTTAAGCAGTGCAAGCTTGCTTCAAGGCATGTGACTTTGAAACCCATCATGCGAGCATTGTGTTTGCAAATGGGAGGGGGGGGGGCTGCACCCCCCCCCCCCCCCCCGCCAACCCCCGGCTTTTTTAAACCTTGCAAGCTTGCTTCAAGGCATTTCGCTCTTTTGAAAACCATCATGCAGGCATTGTGTTTGCAAGCTTGCTTCAAGGAATCTGACTTTGTTTTGAAACCCATCATGCGAGCGTTGTGTTTGCAAATGGGGGGGGGTCTGCGCCACCCCAACCCACCCGCTTTTTTAAAGCCGTGCAAGCTTGCTTCAAGGCATATGACTCTTTTTGAAACCCATCATGCGAGCATTGTGTTTGCGAATGGAGGGCCAAAATCATTAAGAGTTCGAGCAAAATCAATAATGCAAAGGACAGCGGAACCAACATTAAGAAGAGTGCGAGCGAAATCAATAAATTTCCTCACATGAAGAAAAGATACGATCCTGTTCAAATATTAAGGGAGTATAAGTTTTCCTTAGGGAAACCAAGGAAACGGAGCCAAGATTGAGAAGGATTCGAGCAAAATTAGTGAGAAACCTACGGACAGTAGAATGTTCGAGCCAAATGAATAAGAAATCTTGCAACAGTACTATGAATCCTATGAAAATATAGAGGGAATGGAGGGTTTCCTAGGAAAAAGGAAGAAAATTGACCTCTCCTAGTCCAAAACCTAAGGAAGCGGAGGATTTCCTCTCAAAATATGGAGATAATAGAGGTTTTCATAGGAAAAACCAAGGAAACGTGCCGTAAATTATTTCTTGATCCCAAATAAGTTTTTTTTGATCCCCCCAGAAATAGATTATTTTTTGATCCTAAATAAGTATTTTGATCTCGTACCCCTCATAACTACCTGAACCTTCAAGTAGGCCCTTGGAGTTGGCCTCAGGCTGGTTCGATGCCTGGGGGGCTTTGACCGGCAAGAGCTTCCGCGACCCCCGCGACGTGGCCCGGACCCTGCGCAGGATCTTGGAAGCCGGGGCGTCGGTCAACTTCTTCGTCTTCCATGGAGGCACCTCCTTCGGCTTCTGCGGCGCTGGTGGAAACATCTCGCAGGTGGGGCAGTACGAGCCACAAGTGACCTCTTACGACTATGGTGGCCTGCTCGATGAGGCGGGGGAGATCACCCCGAAGTACCTCCGCTGTCGGGAAGTCCTCGCGGACTTCCTGAAGAAGCCCGAGATCCTGGAGCGCACGTTTCCGAAGACCCGGCGCTTGCCGGAGTCGCCCGGCCTGGAGATCGAGGCCTCCCTGTCCCTGGAGCAGGCCCTGCCATGCTTGGCCAAGGAGTGCGTGAAGTCGGCCGTGCCCCTGTCAGCAGAGCAGGTGGGGCTCGGTTACGGGTACATCTTCTACCGGACGAAGGTGCCGGCTTCCGACCTGCCGCTGACCTTTGGGGGCGAGGCCATCCTAAACCCTAAACCCTAAACCCTAAACCCTAAACCCTAAACCCTAAACCCTAAACCCTAAACCCTAAACCCTAAACCCTAAACCCTAACCCCTAAACCCTAAACCCTAAACCCAAGGCCATCCGGGACTTCGCGTCGGTCCTATTCGATGGCCAGGTCCTGGGGACTATCTACCGCAACGACTCCGGCCCCTCCCGAGAGTTCCGGGTGCCCAAAGCTGGCCGGCTGGAGGCCCTTGTTTAGGGCTTTTAGGGCTTAGGGGTTTAGGGTTGAGGGTTGAGGGTTTAGGGTTTAGGGTTTAGGGTTTAGGGGTTTAGGGGTTTAGGGGTTTAGGGGTTTAGGGTTTAGGGTTTAGGGTTTAGGGTTTAGGGTTTAGGGTTTAGGGTTTAGGGCTGCCCTAGAGGCTCCTTTAACACAGGGATGCACGGGATACACCCCGAAACCCCTCCTTCACCTGCCTGAAAGCAAGGGTCTACTAAGGGTTCTTACATACTTCCTGAGGTCCTCGTGGAGATGATGGGCCGGGTGAACTTCGGCCCGGCCCTGCTGCAGGAGAGGAAGGGCCTCGTGGGCCCAGGGAGCGTCCAGCTGGGCACCCCCTTCACCGGCCCCCTGCGCGCCATCCTCGGCTGGGAGATCCTCCCTCTTCCCATGGAGCCTTGGGGGCCACCCAGGAGACCTAAACCCATCAACCCTAAACCCATCAACCGCTCAACCCCAAGCCCCAAACCCCAAACCCCAAACCCCAAACCCTAAACCTTAAACCCTAAACTTGAAACTTGTTTGCCTGCTTCGTGGAGCCTCCCCAACCCCCTTTTAGAGACTCGAGGTCTCCGTAAGGTCCAGCTGCTTCGAGGCTCTAAGGTTGTGACATCGTGTAAGAGTTCTGTCTGAGCCTAGCAGAAAGTTGGACTAAGTGCCTCAGATCCCTGCATGTCGCAGTAGGAGTTGCTCAAACCCAACTAAAGCCACTTTGCAGGCGCTACTGCCTATAGGACTTGAGGGGCCTATTCCCCTGCTGTCCCCCACATGCCCCCAATCCTTGAGGAAACCTGAAGCCCTTGTCATTCCAATACCTGACCACCTCTGAGCCCGACACTCCACTCCCGATTCCTCCCCAAAACCCTAAACCCCCCAAGCCCTAAACCCTGAACCCTGAACCCTCATGCCTTCACCCTAAACCCCAAACCCTCAACCCTAAACCCATGCTCCCTACTTTACCCCCTTCACTGGCTGAAGCCGAGGATGAAGGAAGCCTCGCGCAGCTTCCCTGGGGCACGGCCCAGGGCTCGGCCGCCCGTAAGGGCGGCTGGGAGCGTGGGCCCAGGCGTCGCTGTCTGCTTGGTCAATCTGGGGAAAGGGGGGGGGGGGTTTGGGGTTTCGGGTTCAGGGTTTAAGGGTTGGGGTTTGGCGTTTGGGGTTTGGGGTTTGGGGTTTGGGGTTTGGGGTTGAATTGGGGTTTAGGGCTTGGGGTTCAGGGTTTGGGGTTTCGCGAGGTTCCGAGTTTAGGGTTGTGCACCTTTTTTGGTTTTTGGAAATGCCTGTGGTGATGTTTTGACGATTCTTATCTCCTTCTGATCCATTTCAGCTTCAGTGTTCTTAGAAGTTTCAGTATTCGTATTCTTCCTAGATTCGAGTCCTTATACGTTTCATCATTCTTCTTATTCTTTTCAACCTTAGAAGCATCAGTGCTCTGACTTTGTTGGTCTGATCATTCGTGTTATTGTTCTTGTTTCTATTCCACTTCCCGTTACTGCTCCTCTTTCTTAGTTTAGAAACAAACTCTTGGGTAGGATTACCAGGGTATTAGGGTGCAGCGGGGCATTAGGTTCTATCAGTGTTCTTCCTTTTTGGGGGCCAGTAGGGTCTCAGCATCTTCGGGTATTGGGGTTTGAGGGCTTTCGGTTTTTGCGTTTGGGGGGCCGAGAGGGCTGAAGGTGGGGGAGTCTGGTGCCGTAGCACCTTCAGATCAATGATCTCAAAACCAGGGTTTAGGGTTTAGGGTTTAGGGTTTAGGGTTTAAACCCTAATCCCGAAACCGAACCCCGAACAAGCTTTGTCCAGGTTCTTCCTCTACTCCCTCTACGTCCAGAACCCTGCCGACGGGTTCCTGGCGCTGGAAGGTTTCTCCAAAGGCTTCGCCTGCGTCAACGGCTTCAACCTCGGCCGCTATTGGAAGGCCCCCGGACTCTGGCTTAACCCTAAACCCTAAACCCTAAACCCTAAACCCTAAACCCTAAACCCTAAACCCTAAACCCTAAACCCTAAACCCTAAACCCTAAACCCGTCTGCCAAAATTGATAGGGGGCTTCCGGTTTTTTTGGGGCGTCTGACTCTGCGTCGAGTCTCCGAAGGTTGGGCCGCAGCAGACCTTGTACATCCCGTATCCCGTGCTGCGCCGTGGCCGGAACGAGGTCCGACGCCTAGGCTTGAAGCACGGTTTAAGGTTTCTTTAGGGTTTAGGGTTTAGGGTTTAAGGTTTAAGGTTTCGTGGCTCCCTGGGGATTGTTCTCTACATCAAAGTTTCCCTTGCAGGCTTCCTATAAGGCGGAGCCAAATGTAACTAATGTGTAGGTGTGCTGGAAAAAAGACCATGAGTTAGAGTGCAGCCCGTATCGGCGCACAAGTTTCTGGACTTTTTTGCCTCGAGGTTTTGGTCTTCGACATTGATAGCCCAAAGCTGGCAGAGGCCGGGGTCTCAGTGTCTCGTTTAGGGTTTAGGGTTTAGGGTTTGGTGTTTAGGGTTTAGGGTTTAGGGTTTGGTGTTTACTGGCAGTTGCCAGTTCTACGTGCCATGACGCAGGGCCAAAGACCTCCCGCTCCACGGATTGTGCCGCAGCCTCAGCTCCTACAGCTGCCTCACATCGCGGCGTCAGAATCTGTTCTGGAACCCTAAACCCTGAACCCTAAACCCCAAACCCTAAACCCTAAATTTAAACCCTAACCCCTAAACCCTAACCCCTAAACCCTAAACCCTAAACCCGAAACCCCCTGTTGGTTTACGTTGGCTGAGTTCGGAAGCAATTTGGTCTTCCGGGGTGCTGCCCGTCGGTGCCAAGGCCGCTTGCAAGTCATCTGCTCCATCGGTTCACTATGGTTCACTGCATGTGCTGTGCAGGAAGCCGTGGCCAACGTGTCAGACCTTTTCCGCAACTGGACCTGAGTACCTGAGGAGGACGTTTGCCTCCGGGGGGCGGCAGAGTCTAGGCAGCTGGCTGCGCAGCAAAAGCTCTGAAACACGACGTTTCGCTGACAGAAGGTGGCAGGAAAACGGCGGTGGGCCACTGGAATCTCCTAGGCCCTAAGCTATGCTCCCTTGCAAGACCTTCCAGGGTTCAGGGTTCAGGGTTTAGGGTTTAGGGTTTAGGGTTTAGGATTTAGCTGTTCCGGGGATGTTCGTGGAATGGTTGCCCTCTGGCCCTGGCACAAGCCTGCTCATCTCCCAGCTCTCAGTTCTTCCCACTGCTCGATGATCCATGGGCCCTGTCCCACAATGTGGAGCGCAAAGGGATGCAGGATTTAGGGTTTAGGGTTTAGGGTTTAGGGCTTCTTCAGAAAAAGGCAGCACTTTAAGGGATTCAGGGGTTGTGGGGTGCCACTCTGAGCTCAGGGGTTCGGGGTAAACTGCAAAAAACCTCGCGTCGGAGGTGGTCCTGAGGCTTCTCTACACGAACCCGTTCATCAGCGCGCAGGAGTTGCAGGGAGCGCGTGCGATTGAGGGTTTAGGGTTTAGGGTTTAGGGTTTAATTAGGGTTTAGGGTTTAGGGTTTAGGGTTCAGGGTTCAGGGTTTAGGGTTCAGGGTTTAGGGTTTAGGGTTGGGAACACTTTGCGATTTTTTTGGGGCTCGCGTGGTTCAGAAACCTGAGCCTTAAGCGTGTTAAAGCCCCAAGCCCTGAACCCGTGCGCTTTGTTTCTTGTTTCGTCTAGGGTTTTGCAAGCTGATCCCTACAACCCCAAGCCCTAGCCCCTAAAACCCTAAACCCTACACCCCACACCCTAAACATTAAACCCTCAACCCTAAACCCTCAACCCGCCCTAAACCATAAACCCTCAACCCTAACCCTAAACCCTAGCCCTAAACCCTAAACCCTCAACCCTAAACCCTAAACCCTAAGTACAAGGCCCCAAGCCCTGGGCCTCCCAAGGCCCAAAGCGTTTGGTGCCGAACTCCTCCCTGTGCTAGGGACTAATATCGTGGGGGTTGTATTTGAAGCAGGGTTTATATTTCTGTTTTTGGTGAGTGTATATAAGGTTCCTCTTTAATATTGGTGAGTGTATATACCTGGTGTCCTTTTGGGGGTACAAGAAATATATACCCTGCTTCATTTAGGGTTGAGGGTTTACGGTTTAGGGTTTAGGGTTTAGGGTTTAGTTCGGAATAAGTACTAAGAATATTCCCTTGGGGTCCCTTTGTAATTATTCTAAAAACAACCCCGCAAAACTCTACTCTAATTATTCAGGCCCCTAGACGAGCTCTGGTGCTAGGCCCAAGAACTCTGCAGAGGTACGGGGCTTAGGGTTCAGCGAGGTTTAGGTTTTAGGGTGTAGGGTTTAGGGAGTTTTAGGGGGACTTCACAAGATTTAGGGAGGTTGAGGGACGTTTTGGGAGGTTTAGGGAGATTTAGGAAAACCCTAAACCATAAACCCTAAGCCCTAAGCCCTAAACCCTACACCCTAAACCCTAATCCCTAAACCCTCAACCCTAACCCTAAAGATTCAGGGTTCTGCGGCACCCTGCGCTGCACCCTCATGGGCTCTTCCCCTGAGGAGTTGCGCGACTCTCTTTGGGAGGCTGCCTTGAACAGCAAGACCGAGGCAGTACATTGTGGGGTTTAGGGTTTAGGGTTTAGGGTTTAAGGTTTAGGGTTTAGGGTTTAAGGTTTAGGGTTTAGGGTTTAGGGCTTAGGGTTTAGGGTTTCGGGTTTAAGATTTGGGGCTTAGGGTTTAGGTTTTAGGCTATGAAAGAAGTGCGAGGTTCAGAGGCTGTCTCAGCAGGATGCAAGAGTTGTATCTTGTGAGCTCAAGTACAGAATATAGGGGTTTAGGGTTTAGGGTTTAGGGTTTAGGGAGTGATTACTAATGGTAGTCCCTTATGGTTCCTTTACAAATATACTACAATAACCCCCGAAACCCTGCTATAACTAATACATGTGGTGAGAGACCAGCCTCCTTGGAGCACTCCATGCGTTGGGGTTTAGAGTGCTTAGGGTTTTGGGGCTGAAGGTTATTTCTGGCTGGGCTTAAGATAAGTCGGTTTAGGGTTTGGTGTACTTCCGGGTTTGGGCTGCAGGCTTGGGGTAGTTGAGGTGTTAGGGCTTTTACCTGATCCAAACCGGCACTGCCCGCCAACCCAAGTCCCGATTTAGGGTTTGGGCCAGGGGGGTTAAACCCTAAACCCTAACCCCTAAACCCCTAAACCCCTAAACCCCTAAACCCCTAAACCCCTAAACCCCTAAACCCCTAAACCCCTAAACCCCTAAACCCCTAAACCCCTAAACCCCTAAACCCCTAAACCCCTAAACCCCTAAACCCCTAAACCCCTAAACCCCTAAACCCCTAAACCCCTAAACCCCTAAACCCCTAAACCCCTAAACCCCTAAACCCCTAAACCCCTAAACCCCTAAACCCCTAAACCCCTAAACCCCTAAAACAGGTGGTGCGGAGCCTCCTCGAATTTCGCGTGGACCCGGCGTGCCCCGTCCTTGGCACTCAACCAGCCTCGTGCCTCGTTAGGGTTTAGGGTTTAGGGTTTAGGGTTTAGGGGTTTAGGGTTTAGGGTTTAGGGTTTAGGGTTTAGGGTTTAGGGTTTAGGGTTTAGGGTTTAGGGTTTAGGGTTTAGGGTTTAGGGTTCAGCATCTCTGGTCCAAGCATTCACTAGTTGAGCAGCTTTCAAGGCCACAGGGAATACCCACCCGCCCATTGGGTCCCACACCATTAGGAAAAATATCAACCTCCTTCTTCTCTAGGCACGTGGTCAACAGAATGGATTTGTTAACCACATGTTTCTGTTTCAAGCGGACAAGAAAACCAAACATGGTCAACAGAATGGATTTGTCAACCACATGTTTCTGTTTCAAGCGGACAAGAAAACCAACGTGGTCAACAGAATGGATTTGTTAACCACATGTTTCCATTCGGGAACTTATTCTTTGGAAGCCATCTTGAGTTCTTGAGTCGTTTGAGGGGCTTCAGGGGCCTCAAAAACAGGCGCGGTCATTCGGAAACTTATTCTTTGGAAGCCATCTTGGATCGCTTCACTCTTTTGAGGGGCTCCAAGAACGGGGGGGGGGGGTGAAGGGGGCGCGGGGGGGTGGGGGGGGGTGGGTGGGGGGTGGGGGGGGGTGGGGGGGTGGGGGGGGTGGGGGGGGGGGGGGGGGGGTGGGGGGGGTGGGGGGGTGGGGGGGGGGGGCGGGGGGGGGGGGGGAGGGGGGGGGGGGGGGGTGGGGGGGAGGGGGGGGGGGGGGTGTTTGGGGATGGGGGACCTTGCCCACTAAATATACCTTGCCCGCTAAATATATGACCTTGCCCGCTAATATATGACCTTGCCCGCTAAATATATGACCTTGCCCGCTAAATATAGGACCTTGCCCGCTAAATATAGGACCTTGCCCGCTAAATATATGACCTTGCCCGCTAAATATATGACCTTGCCCGCTAAATATATGACCTTGCCCGCTAAATATATGACCTGGCCCGGGCCATATATTTAGCGGGCAAGGTCATATATTTAGCGGGCAAGGTCATATATTTAGCGGGCAAGGTCATATATTTAGCGGGCAAGGTCATATATTTAGTGGGCAAGGTCGCCCTTTAGCGGGCAAGGTCATATATTTAGTGGGCAAGGTCATTTTTTAGCCAATGGACCTTGGACCTTGCCCACTAAATATATGACCTTGCCCGCTAAATATATGACCTTGCCCGCTAATATAGCTATGACCTTGCCCGCTAAATATAGGACCTTGCCCGCTAAATATATGACCTTGCCCGCAAAGTCATTAACATTTATATTATATATGAAAGAGTGGTTTAGGGTTTAGGGTTTAGGGTTTAGGGTTTAGGGTTTAGGGTTTAGGGTTTAGGGTTTAGGGTTTAGGGTTTAGGGTTTAGCGTTTCAGAATTTAGGGATTAGGGTTTATGGTTTGGGGTCTGGTGTTTAGGGTAAAGTCAACCCACAACCTTGAACCCTCAATCCCTCAATCCCTCAATCCCTCAACCCCTCAACCCCTCAACCCCTCAAACTCTCCCTGCAAGTCTGAAGGCTTCAGCCCGAAAGCCCTATAACACCAAGCAATCTGCAATTCCCACAAGCCTCTCAAACCCCAACTCCCGGTCCCCTTTTCCCACACGGTTTAGGGGTTAGGGTTTAGGGTGTTTTGGGTTTAGGGAGCAAGGTTTTATGGCTGTTATTGGTGAGTGTATATACGGCTTCCTCGCAAACATGGGTGAGTGTATGGTTTGGGTCTCCATCTTTGGAGATACCCAGCAATAAGAAACCCTTCATGTCCTCCTAAACCCTGAAGCCTAAATGCTAAACCCTGCTAACCCCTAAGCCCTACTAAACCCTAAACCCCAAACCCCAAACCCTAAACCCTAAACCCTAACCTAAACCCTACTAAACCCTAAACCCCTAAACCCCAAAACCCTACTTCATGTTCCTGGGCTCGAGGTAAGCCCTCCTCCAGCATCAGCCGACCGCCGCATCCCTTGAGGTGCTGGGGCTTGGGGTGGGCTTGGCTGGAAGGCCTCCCGGTTTAGGGTTTAGGGTTTAGGGTTTAGGGTTTGGGTTTAGGGTTTAGGGTTTAGGGTTTAGGGTTTAGGGTTTAGGGTTTAGGGTTTAGGGTTTAGGAGTTCTGTACCTGAAAGAAGGTGTGCCCAAGAATGTTCACTTCATGCAAACAACCCCCCACGCCGCACGCCCCCCTGGTTGCAGGCAGCTGTACAGGGTTTAGGGTTTGATCTAAGATGTAAAGAAATAGCGCTGCTTTTCCGGGGGGGGGGGGGGATTGTAATTGCAGTCTGCAAACCGGATTGTGCAACACGTTTCAACATTCATCGGGGAAATATGTTCTCTCTTTCATGTAGGAGCATAGGCATGGGCTGCTCTACCCTTTTTGGTGGGGGGGGGCCGTTTAAGGGGATTCTATTCTATTTGGGATACAAAAGGGGTACCCATATTTTGGGAAGTACCCATATTGGTACCCATGGCAAACCCATCAAAGACCCTTGTAAAGTGCCGGGGAACACCAAAAAGCGACTCCCGCGCTATTGCGCGACCTAGGCCCGACATATAGAGTTTCGACGGTCGCTCACGTGAAGTCAGCAGGACTTGTTCGTACTGGGGAATGTGGTGCCCAAGCCCAAAACCCCATCAGGCGGCGTGAAACAGGGTTTAGAGTGCTGTTATTGGCGAGTGTATATACGGGTTCCTTATGAGTGCGTGTATTGGGGTCTTTTTTGGGATACTAGTATCAACAACCCTACTTCGCATGGAGGTTTACGAGATAAGGGACCTAGGACTCCTTATAATAGGGACCCCAAAAAGAATATCGTAAACCCCCGCATAAGTACAGGAACCCTAACCTCCTTTCAAGGGTTCTGATGTGTGGGCCCTTAATTTGTACAGGGTATATAAGGGGCAAATAAGCTGTACCCTTTCAAGGGCCCATATTAAGGGACCATAAAGCTACCCTTGGGGCTTCTAGGGTTTGCAGGGTTTATCGGGTCTATCGGGCCCTTAATTTGTATAGGGTATATAAGGGGGTACCCTTTTCAGGGCCCATATTAAGGGACCCATGCAGCTCCCCTAAACCCTACACCCTAAACCCTAAACCTTAAACCCTAAACCCTAAACCCTAAACCCTAAACCCCTTAAGGGCCCCTCTTCAGGGACCATGTAGCTACCCTTAGATGCAGGTGTTTGCAGTGGACGCCTCTCATTGCGCTTGCGGCATCTGGGAGCCCCTCGACTGAGAGCCTGGAGAGAGCTGCCACAGTTACCCTAAACCCTAAACCCTAAACCCTAAACCCTAAACCCTAAATCCTAAACCCTAAATTCTAAACTCTAAATCCTAAACCTAAATCCTAAACCCTAAATCCTAAACCCTAAACCCCCAAACCCCAAACCCTAAACCCGAAGTGCACGGCACCCAACCTAACGCTCCGGAGAAGTATGTGTGTGTGTGTGTGTGTGTGTATGGACTCATGCATGTGTTGGGTGCTCATGGTTGGCAAGCACAGCCGCGTCGAGAGCAGCACCGAGGTGCAGATCGCGCTCAGGTCGTGGCAGAGCTGCTGTCAGCCCAGTCGCCTTCGACAGAGCGCTGCCCTCGCTATAGCAGAGGGGTCGGAAGAATTCCTGTCAGAAATTCCTTTACGGTCCCTCCCCCCCAAAAAAAACGGTTGTCATTTTTTTCCCCTATAGTAGGCGTGGTTTTGAAGCGCTTCGTCAGAGGCGGCAGGCGTCCCCTGAGAAAGCAGCGTGCTACAGTACCTTGAGCACCAAGGTCCTCCGAGCCTGTCGAGGGCCAGTTGGGCAAGGCGGCCCTTCGGCATGTCCCATGTTTGGGGTTTAGGGTTCAGGGTTTAGGGTTCAGGGTTTAGGGTTTAGGGTTTGGGGTTTAGGGTTTAGGGTTCAGGGTTTGGGGTTTGGGGTTTAGGGTTCAGGGTTCCCAGCAGTCTTTGTGCTTCTCAGGCTTGTGGTGAACGTCCCCTGGGTGTTCAGCATTGTGGGGGAAGCGCTGCTGCAGATGGTGCAGGCACGGCTTCTACTTGGGCGGGGGTTTGATCCGCATGCTGGGCCCTGCATGAGTCTCCTTTCTAGGCGTATTCCTTATAGTTTTCGGTACCAACAAGGCCCCATGATTTGGATCTTACACCCTAAGCCTAAACCCCAAAACCCCAAAACCCTAAACTCTAAACCCTAGACCCATCTAGACCCTAAACCCCTAAACCCTAAACCCTAAACCCTAAACCCTAAACCCTAAACCCTAAACCCTAAACCCTAAACCCTAAACCCTAAACCCTAAACCCTAAACCCTAAACCCTAAACCCTAAACCCTAAACCCTAAACCCTCGACCCTCGACCCTCGACCCTACCCCCCCCCCCTCCCTCTTCAACCCTGAGCCCTAGACCCTGGCACCCTGCAGGCCCGGAACGGGTGCCCCGCAGCGGAACCGTGACCAGCGGGCCTGCCTTGATCAAGGCCGGGGGGCTGAATCCTGATCCTCCACGACTCTTTGGGTTTGGGGTTGAGGGTTCAGGGTTTAGGGTTTAGGGTTTGGGGTTGAGGGTTTAGGGTTTGGGGTTTAGGGTTTAGGGTTCAGGGTAGCCCTACGCCCTGACCCAAGTCTCAAACATCTCAGACCGTAGTTGCTGTCAGACCCCCCGACGAAGATGGCGACCTCCTGAGCCGTGTCAACCCTAAACCGTCAACCCTAAACCCTAAACCCTAAACCCTAAACCCTAAACCTAAAACCTAAACCCTAAACCCTAAACCCTAAACCCTAAACCCTAAACCCTAAACCCTAAACCCTAAACTCAGGGCCTAGGCCGCCCCGCTACGTTGGGGGGCGGCGCTCAAGCCTTCGACCTCGATGGCTCCAGCCGGGGACCGGGGCCTCTGGCCTGCTCAATTGCTCAAAGAAGCTGTTTTCAAGGACTAGGGTTTAGGGTTTAGGGTTTAGGGTTTAGGGTTTAGGGTTTAGGGTTTAGGGTTTAGGGCTTCCTGCCTTTTCATGACCCTGGTCCCCCCCTGGTCCCTCTGGGCCCTGCCTGGGACCTGCCAGGGAGCCGCCTTGCTTCAGTGTTTAGAAGTGCACTGTTGTCTGAGTTTGGGCGGGAGATGGCCTTCCAGAATCGGGCCAAAGCTGCTCTTCGCGCCTCACGAAGCTTTCGAGCTTGTTCCACAGCCTAACCTTTTCAGCATCTACGCCTTATCACAGCAAACCCTAAACCCTAAACCCTAAACCCTAAACCCTAAACCCTAAACCCTAAACCCTAAACCCTAAACCCTAAACCCTAACCTAAACCCTAAACCCTAAACCCTAAACCCTAAACCCTAAACCCTAAACCCTAAACCCTAAACCCTAAACCCTAAACCCTAAACCCTAAACCCTGAACCAAAGATGCTATGGGTTTGGGGCGCTTCTCTTGCTGGCTCTGGGTCTCAGGAATGAGGGAGTTAGGCGGTCCCTGAATCCTTAAACGGTGTCTCTCTCTCTCTCTCTGTCTTTCTCTCTCTCTCTCTCTCTCTCTATATATATCTATATATACACATCAAATATATACGAAATAGATGTGTGTTGCGGATATAAAGGTACTTAACTCCCTCATTCCCGACGAAGAACCTACTTACTAAGAACCCAGAAAAATAAGAAATTTTCTTCCTTGTTAAGGTTCTTTAGGGATTACTATTTTGAAAATTCTTTTGGGGTTCTTAAGCAAACATTCGGAACCAGGAGGTTCTTCGGCAGGCTCTGGCTCGGCAGCACGTCTCGGAGCTAGACCCCCACCTCGGAGATCTCCAGCCGGAGGCGCGGGTTTAGGGTTTAGGGTTTAGGGTTTAGGGCTCAGGGTTCAGGGTTTAGGGTTTAGGGTTTAGGGGCGTGCCCTTGTTTGTTGGCAAGGAGCCCTATGAGCCCCATAAGCCCTACAAACCCCCATAAGCCTTATAAGCCCCATAAGCCTTCTAAGCCCTGTCAGCCCTATAAGCCCTCTAAGCCCAAAAAGCCCCAAACCCTAAACCCTAAACCCCACACCCCTGAACCCTGAACCCTGAACCCTAAACCCTAAACCCTAAACCCTAAACCCCTCAACCCTAAACCCCAAAACTCTAGACCTCCAGGGAGTCTAGGGTGGGAAGTTTGGGGCTGAGGTGATGTCTGGCCATTCCTTCACAAAGGCCCCCAAAAGAACCCGAAGCATCACATTCGGCTTTGGGTGTCCCACTTGGAGGTTCATGGGTAGCTACATGTGGAGTGATAAGGGAAGGTCAAAACGTTATTTAGGCTGGTTTGGGGTTTAGGGTTTAGGGTTTAGGGTTACTTATACTCGTGAAGCTTCAGGTATGCCCGGCTTGTCTTGCCAGGAACTGGAGTCCTTGGAAGGCCAGCTGGAGGACAGGGTTGAGGGACTGTGGGTTTAGGGTTTAGGGTTTAGGGTTTAGGGGTTTAGGGGTTTAGGGTTTAGGGTTTAGGGTTAGGGTGGCTCTAGGGTGTGGCCCTGGCGGGAGCGAGCACGCGATGGAAGGCGCTGGTGCACGCTGTCCGGAAGCGACGGCAGTACTGGCTTGAAGCTTGCTCGCAGGATTTCCCGAGAAACGCGAGCGAGCATGAGAGAGGGGGGGCTCCTCTTCGCTGTGTAGAAGAAGAGGAAGAGAGAGACAGAGACAGAGAGAGACAGAGAGAGAGACAGAGAGAGACAGAGAGAGACAGAGAGAGACAGAGAGAGACAGAGAGAGAGAGAGAGAGAGAGAGCGAGGAGTGCAAGGTTGCTGGACAGTCCTCCCACTAAGCCCTAAACCCTACCCAAAACCCCAAACCCGAAACCCACCAAGCCCTAAACCCTACCCTAAAACCCAAGCCCGAAACGCTATAACCCTAAACCCCTAGTCCCCTAAGGAGAGGCGACTCGAAAGTGCTCAAAGGAAGTGGCAGCCTTGGGACTGAGAGACGGGCATCGGAGTCGCCTGATATATAGGGCACACCGGGTTTAGGGAATGGGGGTTTAGGGTTTAGGGTTTAGGGTTTAGGGTTTAGGGTTTAGGACTTAGGGACTTGGGGTAGGGTTTTCGGCCATCTAGGGTTTAGGAGTTCGGGGTTTAGGGCCTACAAGGGTCTAGGACTTAGGGGGTAGGGTTGCGGTCTCTGGCATCGTGCCCCTTGGGACTTGCCGGCCTGCAAGGCATGACGAGGTGTGTGGCGGGCTCAGGCTCTTCCTCGAAGCCTGTGTGCGTTACTTGCAAAGCGTGGTAATCACCAAAAGTACTAAACCCTAAGCCAAGCCCTAAACCCTAAAGCCTAAACCCTAAACCCTTAGCCCCAAGCCCTAAACCCTCTCCAAGATCCTCAAGCTCCCCAGCAACGCTTCATCCCAAAGGTCGGGGGAGGCAGACGCTGGAAGAGGAGCAGGCGCGAGAACAAACAGCTCGCGTTGCAGGTGTGGGTATAGGGTTTAGGGTTTAGGGTTTAGGGTTTAGGGTTTAGGGTTTAGGGTTTAGGGTTTAGGGTTTAGGGTTTAGGGTTTAGGGCATGAACATGAATTTTCATCCTATCGTCTGATTACGATCTTACAGTATTACGTTATTGGCATTGCATGATTTATGCATGTATGCACTATGCTTTAATATAACTTTCACTACACTCTTGCATTTTAACATGGTTGTGTTGTTGCATGTGCTTTATTGCATGAATACATTATTCTACTGTTGTTTGGTTATCTTAGTATACCATTCCATGATTCTACTACTGTACTATATGGTTATGTTAGGTTTATGGGTTTAGGGTGGGAACTGACAGTTCGGGGTTTGGTCTTCGGGTGTTCTGGTTCGGCTTGGGTTTTCTGCGTTTTCGACAGCGCTTTGCGTTGAAGCTTCCCTTCTTGTCCGATTTAGAAGCCCAGCTGAGCGGAACCCCTAAATCTTGAGCCCTGAATCCTAAACCCTGACCCTACACCAAACCCTACAGCCTAAACCCTAAGCCCTAAACCCTAAACTTCCTAAGCCCTAAGAACTATGACCTCAAACCTCCCGGAACCCTATAACGCTAAACCCCAAACCCTAAACCCTATAGCCCTCTAACCCTATGACCCTATAACTTAACCGAGCTGCTACTAGTTGCTGAAGACCACCCCCCCCCCCCCAAACAAAAACAAAACAAAGTACAAAGTCATAATCCCGACATCGCCCAAGGAAGAACATTCCATTTTTCGGGGTGGTTCTCAAGCAAATAGTAGTTCCTGAACCCTTCAACGCTAAACCCCAAACCCTGAACCCTGTAAAACCTAAACCCTAAACCCTAAACCCTGAACCCTAAACCCTAAACCCTAAACCCTACACCCTACACCCTAAACCCTAAACCCTAAGCCCTAAACCCTAAACCCTAAACCCTAAACCCTAAACCCTAAACCCTAAACCCTAAACCCTAAACCCTAAACCCTAAACCTTTGTGCCATCCGCGCCAGTGTTGCGTGGTCTGCTCCGAGTTCCAGAAGTCGGTCCTCTTCATGCCTTGCAGGCGCCCGGGCGTTCTGACCAAGCCGTTTAGGGTTTGGGGGTTTAGGGTTAAGGGTTTAGGGTTTGGGGTTTGGGGTGTAGGGTTAAGGGTTTAGGGTTTGGGGTTTGGGGTGTAGGGTTTGGGGTGTAGGGTTTGGGGCTTAGGGTGTAGGGTTTTGGGGTTTGGGGTTTGGGGTTTAGGGTTTGGGGTGTAGGGTGTGGGGTTTTAGGGTTTGGGGTTTGGGATTTAGGGTTTGGGGTTTAGGGCCGCGGGTTTAGGGTTTAGGGGTTTGGGGTTTGGGCCTAGGGTGTAGGGTTTAGGGTTTTAGGGTTTTGGGGGTGTAGGGTTTGGGTTTAGGGCTTAGGCTTTGGGGTCTGGGGTTTTGGGGGTTTCGGGTTTGGCGTTTAGATTTTGGTTTGGAGGCTTTGGGGTTTGCGGTTTAGGGTTTGGGGGTTTAGGGTTTAGGGTTTGGGGTGTAGGGTTTGGGGTTTAGGGTGTAGGGTCCAGGGTTCCGGGCTTCGGGTTCGGGGGTTTTGGGGTTTACCCGAAACCCTAAACCCTAAACCCTAAGCCCTAAACCCGAAACCCTAAACCCTAAACCCTAAACCCTAAGCCTAAACCCTAAACCATGCGCCTGAGGCATCTCTGCACATGCCGCGAGTGCGCCGCACCTCTCCAGCAGGCCACCCAGTCCAGACTTTCAAGAGAAGCCGAGACCCAGAAGACTCCGAAAGAGCTGAAGGGTTTAGGGTTTAGGGTTTAGGGTTTAGGGTTCAGGGTTTAGGGTTTCAGGGTTTAAGGGTTTAAGGTTTAGGGTTTAGGGTTTAAGGTTTAAAGTCCGAAAGAGCTGAGGTTGTGCCCGATCTGTCGGACCAGCATTGAGGAGAAGCTTCACTGCATACAGCCGTAGATCCAAAGCGATTTAGGGCCCTGCAAAATGTTGCGCGAGCCAATGCAACCCTAAACCCTAAACCCTAAACCCTAAACCCTAAACCCTGAACCCTGAACCCTGAACCCTGAACCCTGAACCCTGAACCCTGAACCCTGAACCCTGAACCCTAAACCTACTTCCCCGAGGCCCTGCATCCCTTCTGGGTGCCAAAGCAAGGGCCCCAAGCAGCTCAGCTGTGTATTCCCATCTGAGATCCCCAGGATTCGCCCGCTATCTTTCGTTTCGGGCTTTAGGATTCATCAGCTGTCTGATGTCTTGGAGTAGGTTCTCGTGTTGCCTGTTAGCTGTTGCGAGAATGTGGAGGATCCGCTCGATGGGGGCCGCAAACTGTTCTGCAAGCGACTGGGAGTCGAGCTTCGGGCAAAAAGGGGAACCCTGAGCCCTAAGCCCTAAACCCTAAACCCCAAACCCTAAACCCCCCAAACCCTAAACCCTAAACCCTAAACCCTAAACCCTAAACCCTAAACCCTAAACCCTAAACCCTAAACCCTAAACCCTAAACCCTAAACCCTAAACCTAACCCTAAACCCTAAACCCTAAACCCTAAACCCTAAACCCTAAACCCTAAACCCTAAACCCTAAACCCTAAACCCTAAACCCTAAACCCTAAACCCTAAACCCTAAACCCTAAACCCTAAACCCTAAACCCTAAACCCTAAGGGAGGGAGAGCACCAAGCCACAGAGGCTCTTTGACGTGACTGGTATGTATCTTCCCCAGCCAGCTTTTTTCGGACAGCTGCCGTCAAATTCTTGTCACATGGCCTTCTTAACTAGGGTTTAGGGTTTAGGGTTGAGGGTTTAGGGTTTAGGGTTTAGGGTTTGGGGTCTGGGCCCAATCACACCCCCAAAACGGCCCCGACATTGCATCTGCTGCTCCACCACACTCCGGGTCTTTAGCTGAATGCAGGAGGGCTATGCTGCCTTGCAGGCTGTGGGTGCCAAAAAGCCCCCAGTTTAAGGGGGAACCCTCAACCCTAAACCCTAAACCCTAAACCCTAAACCCTAAACCCTAAACCCTAAACCCTAAACCCTAAACCCTAAAAGCGCCCTGCACATGCATGGGGTGTTGTGAACAGGTGTTGCCGGGATGCCCTCTACATGAAGAAACGAAACGTCCTATACCAAATCATGGACTACTCGTACACTCATATTATTAGTATTAGTATTATTATTAGTATAATTACTATAAGTATTATAATTAGTATTTATTATTAGTATTATTATTATGATTAGTATTGTTATGATTATGATTATGAGAATTAATATTATTATTATTATTATTATTATTATTATTATTATTATTATTATTATTATTATTATTATTATTATTATTATTATTATTATTATTATTATTATTATTACTGCAGCCCCCGCACCATGCCGCGATGGCCAATGGCGTTCCTCGCCTCGGCGCCGGCGCTGGCGCAGGCCTTCGTGGCGCCACTTGCCCAGCCGGAGCTCCACAGAGGCCCCGCGGGCGGTCCCAAGCCCGTGCGCGCAACGGCCACGGGCTGCGTTGGCAGTGCCCTGCCCTGGTGCCTGGCCGCTGCAGCGGCGTCTTTTTCGCTGTCCCGCTCTTCCCGGACGGCCATGCGGGGGCTGAAGGACCGGGTCAAGAAGGACTTCAGCGTGAAGAGCGCGATGATCCGGAGGCTGGGCAAGTGGCGGCTGATGAAGGAGTTCGACATGCGGAAGCAGATCCGTGAGAACCCCGACATGGCCAAGCGCTGCGGGAAATCCCAGGACTTCCCGTTGGTTAGCAACCGATTAATTAGTAGGGAATGGGGGATTAAGGCACCATGTATATTCCCTTAAAGGGTATGTAGGGGATATGGGGTACCTGATTCCCCTATTCCCTCTGCAAACCAACAGTAAGAGGAGGCGCTCATCGAGGACTTCAACAAGGCGGCAAACTACCTGACGACCACGCTGGGTCTGGAGGATCAGAGCGCCGAGATCTGCATCTCAAAGGTGTCCACGGGGTTGAACATGCAGTTCCTTCGTAGCTGAATGAGCACACTTTGCACTTTATATACACGTTTTTTGGGATATCACAATCCCCTACTGTACACTTTTTTGGGGGCTTTTGAACCCAGCAACCCTAAACCCTAAACCCTAAACCCTAAACCCTAAACCCTAAGCCCTAAGCCCTCAACCCTAAACTAAGGTTCCTGGGAAAGCCGAACATCCCCTCGAATGAGGACATGGCCCAGGTCATGGACTGGCTTGTCGAGAACTTGGCCGTCGCCAGGGAGGACGGCTCTCTGAAGAGGGTGGTGGAGCAGTTATTACTACTCGTCTTTTTGTTGTTATTGTTATTGTTAGGGCTATTGCTACTGTTATGGTGATGATTACTACTATTCATTTTTTATTTGTTATTGTTATTATTATTATTTTTTTAGATGGTTTCTGTTCTTGTTATTATTATTACTACGGTTACGAGGATGATGATGATGATGATGATGATGCTGATGATGATTACGATTAGTACTATTATTACCATTACTACTGCTATTCTAGTACTATTATTGCTAATAAGGTGGTGGAGCAGTACCCGTTCATGCTTGGGCGCAGCATCGATGATTTGGAAGAGTCCCAGAATTTCTGCCCGGAAGACATCGACTTCAAGGTTGCAGTTGCTAAGTTGCCCTTAGGGTTTAGGGTTTAGGGTTTAGGGTTTAGGGTTTAGGGTTTAGGGTTTAGGGTTTAAGGTTTAGGGTTTAAGGTTTTGGGCTTTTTGTTTCATAGAAGTCACCGGCGCCAGAAAGGACAGCCTTGAACCCTAAACTCTATTCTTGCAGTATGCTTGGGCTACCAAGGTTGCAGATGATCCTGCATTGATCGACAAGACCTACAACTGCCATCTGGGGTTTGCAAAACAGATTTTAGAACATTTGCTGCCATAAAACCCTAAGCCCTAAGCCCTAAGCCCTAAACGCTAACCCTCAACCCTAGACCCTAGACCCTAGACCCTAGACCCTAAACCCTAAACCCTAAACCCTAAACCCTAAACCCTAAACCCTAAACCCTAAACCCTAAACCCCAATAGACAGGCCAACTCGGGACCTGCAATGCTTCGTAGGGCTCCCAAACCACCCCAGGCCAGGGCATCTGCGCGTCCCAGTGCGTGTCCTGCTGGTACAACGGCTGAGCCGCCAGTAGGGTTTGGTGTTTGGGGTTTGTGGTTTTGGGTTTAGGGTTAAGGCTTTAGGGTTTAGGGTTTAGGGCTTAGGTTTGTGGTTTTGGGTTTGGGGTTTTCCTAGGGTAGGAGAAGGGGGACCCTTAAAAGGGAACCCTTCTGAACCCTCTTCTGGCTCTCTTAAACAGGGACCGTATTCAGAGGGTCTGTATCCCCAATGGTCCCCTTAATCCTACCCCCTAGGTTTAGGGTTTAGGGTTAGGGTTTTGGGGTTTAGGGGAGGCAGAGCCAGGGCCGGTGTCGCATGCCTTTGCATGGGAGCATTTTCCGCGGGAGCCGAAAAGGAGGGCCTAAGCCGGGCACATTTTGCTGTGCGGCGTTTCTCCAAACCTGAACCTCCCCAAATCCGAACACCGCTGATAAGGCTGATACTAACAGCAACGAAAGTATACAGAAAAGTAGAGCATGTTAAAAACAACAAGAAACAAGCAAAGCACAACAACAAGCAAAGCACATGAACACATGTCTCCCTCGTCCCGGGGCCCAAGTGAGAAGGGCGATTGCCCCCTTGTACGGCTTGGGGTAGAACCTGCGCTGGAGCCATGAAGATCGAGGAGGCCATCGCAGAATTGCCGAGTCTAGAGCTTCAGTTTAGGGTTTGGGGTGTTTAGGGGTTTAGGATTACGGTCTAGGGTTTAGGGTTTGGGGTTAGGGGTTTAGGGTTTAGGAGGTGCCCCTCTTTGCGGCTAAATATTCCACGACCTTTGTCGGACACCCCTTCACCCCGGTCATTGCTTCTTCAAGCAGCTGTAGTTTGCGTTGCCGTCCAGCAGGGCGTACTTCACTCTCCTAAACCTTAAACCCTAAACCCTAAACCCTAAACCCCAAACCCTAAACCCTAAAAAACACCCCTTCACCGCAAAGTGCCTCAAGCAGGTGCAATCCACCACCAAGACTCAGCGCATTGCGACCCACAGCCACATCAAAGGCTTGGGGCTTGCCGAGGACGTGGGCCGCCGGCCATGGGCCGCCGGCCATGGGGTTTAGGTTTTGGGTTGAGGGTTTAGGGCTTCGGGTTTTGGGGTTTAGGAGGATTTCGGATGGTTTAGGAAGGGGGCGGGGGGGGGGGGGTATTGGGGGGGGGGGGGGGGGGTTCGGGGCATCGAAGGGGTTTTTCACCTTGTTCAGGGCACTTGTAACCCCACTTTTTACTACCCACGAATCTTCAAGTATGGCTATTAAAAAGCAGAATTTCATGATGGGCCCTGAACCCTGACACCCCTAGCCCTGAACCCAAAACCCTAGACCCTCCTAAACCCCCCTTATAAACCCTCCTCCAAACCTCCGAAAACCCTCCAAACCCTTCCCGAAAACCCTCCTAAACCCTAAACCCTAAACCCTAAGCCCTAAGCCCTAAACCCTAAACCCTAAAGCCTAAAAACCCTAAAGCCTAAAAACCCTAAACCCTAAAAACCCTAAACCCTAAAAACCCTAAACCCTAAACCCAAAACCCTAAACCCTAAACCCTAAACCCAAAACCCTAAACCCTAAACCCTAAACCCTAAACCCTAAACCCTAAACCCTAAACCCTAAACCCTAAACCCCACCATCGGCACCAGCAGGATGGAACAGCTGAGCAGGTGGCGAGCGGCCTTGTCGGGCCCGAGACTTAGCAAGGCTTCTGGCCTGGACCTAAACCCTAAGCCCTGAGCCCTAAGCCCTAAGCCCTAAACCCTAAACCCTAAGCCCTAAGCCCTAAACCCTAAACCCTAAACCCTAAACCCTAAACCCTAAACCCCTAGCCCCTAACCCCAAAACCTAAAGCCCAGGCAGGAGAAAGCCAGGGAGGCCTGTGGCGTTACCGTGGATCTCATCAAGTCCAAGAAGATGGCGGGCAGGCTGCTGGTTCAGGGCATACAGTTTAGGGTTTGGGGGTTTGGGGGTTTGGGGGTTTAGGGTTGAGGGCCTGCAGGGTTTGCAGGGTTTGAAGGGTGTATAGGGTTTGCGGGGTGTAGGGGTTCAGAATTCAGAGTGTTTAGCCTTCCTGTTTTGTTGTAAAGCTTGAGGCTTCAACCCTCCTATCCTGGGGTTCGGGCCCCGTTCAGCCCTGCGAACCTCTTGAACCACCCGTGAACCCCTGAACTCCCTCAACCCTCAGCCCTAAACCCCAAACCCTTCGGAACCCACAGCCCTGAAACCCATTTGAAGCCCGTAGTAAACCCTTTCCCAAACCCCTCTCTTAAAGCCCTAAACCCTAAACCCTAAACCCTAAACCCTAAACCCTAAACCCTAAACCCTTTTGCAACCCTCTGTTGAAACCCTTTTGAAGCCCGGGAGCCAGGGCGCTGCTGATGGCAGGTGCGCCGGGCACCGGCAAAACCGTCGGGGCCTCAGGTGCACAAGAGGAACCCTAAACCCGAAACCCGAAGCCCGAAACCCTAAACCCTCAACCCTAAACCCTAAACCTCAAACCCTAAACCCTAAACCCTCAACCCGAAACGTCAACGGCCGGGGAGTGTGGAGTCCAGAGCCCAAGAACCCCGCGAACCCTCAGCATCCTCAACCGTAGGACCTAAGCACCCTCAGCCCATTTGCCCTGGGGCATCCTCAACACTTGCGGTTTAGGGTTTAGGGTTTCGGGTTAAGGGTTTAGGGTTTTAGGGTTCAGGGTCTCTAGGGTTTCTAGGGTTTCTAGGGTTTAGGGTTTAGGGTTTCTAGGGTTTGGGGTTTAGGGTTTCTAGGGTTTAGGGTTTAGGGTTGAGGGTTTAGGGTTTAGGGTTCAGGGTTCAGGGTTTAGAGCTCTTCTGCCAGCAAGCTTGCGGCGCGGCCTTCTGCAAGGCATTGGCGTTGGCCGTGGCGCAGGAGCTGGGTACAAAGGCCCGGGTGCTCTTGGCTTGGGGGGCCTAGGACGCGGAGTAGGCCCTTATTTCCTTTTTGGGGGGTTGGGGGTTCCCTTATAGTTTTCTTAAAACCAAAAAGGTACCGGTACCCTTCTTATTCCTGGGTTACTCCTGGGTCTAGGGGCTTACGTGGGTTTGCAACGGTCAGGTTTTCTTTCGGCGCTTTGTATAGGGTTGAGGTTGTCGCGTTTGGGTCTGCGATTTGGGTGAGGGGCATGCGCGTTCCTGCGATTTCCAAGGATTGGTTTAGGGGTTCAGGGTGTTAGGAAATAGGCTTTAGGGTGACACAGGGTTTCATAGGGTTTCATAGGGTTTCATAGGCTTACGTGCTTACGCAGGCTTGCACAGGGCTACATGGGGTGAAGTACGGGAGGAGCGGTGCAGTTTGTTTTTGGTTCTATTCTATAGGCGCATTCCAGGCCGCGTTGATTAAAAACGGCTTTCCTTGAATGAATTCCCCGTCCCCACTAAAAGACGGGAGTCAGGCATCTTGGACCATGGCACGCTGCATCGAAGGTGCCTTTCTGCCCGATGGTGGGCAGTGAGGTCTACTCATCAGAGGCCTGGGGGGGGGCGCCCCAGCCATGGTGGTATCAGGGCCTGTCTCCTTGGAACTGATATTTTGGACAGTTTGTATGTATAGATATATACATACATATACATATATGCATGTACGTACATATATATATATATATAGATATATAATATGTGCGCGGGCCCTCTCCTCCCGCCAAAACAGGTGTGGGAGGACCCTAACCCGCAACCCCCAAACCCTAGACTCAACTAAACCCCAATCCTAATTTCCAAAAAGCCCAAACCCAAAACTCCAAAAACCCTAGCCCTGAATCCTAAGCTTAAGGCTTAAGCCCTCCTAAACCCCTAGACCCAAAAAACCCACAACCACATTTTGGTCCACCCCCCGCCTCCCGGGGGGGGGGGAGGTGTTCCCCATAAAGACAAGAGCAGGGAAGCATGCATAAAGATCCCTAAGCCCGAAACCTGTACCCTAAACCACACCTCAAGCGGGCCTTTCGTAGGGGACCCGAAATCTGGACCCTTAATTTGGGTCCCCTGTTATCTAACCCTTCTATACACTCTACATCATAAGTGCCCATACTTTGTAAGCAAGGGTAAGGGGCCAAACTACGGGCCCATGGGTAAAACCTTAGATTTCGACGCAAGTTCAGCAAGCCAAGCGACCGTCTAGTACCGGGGTCGGAAGAATTACTAAGAGTAGCATCTGTATGGTCCTTATATACTTCTATTATAATAACCCTCAACCCTAGACCCGAGAACCTATATAACTATACTACAATCACCCTAAACCCTAAACCCTAAACCCCAAACCCTAAACCCCAAACCCCAAACCCCAAACCCAAAACCCAAAACCCAAAACCCTAACCCCTAAACCCTAAAAAAGTATACTAGAGGGCCGGGGGGGGGGGGGGGGGGGGGAGCTATATCGGGGTTAGATTTTGGCATGTTTCGGTTGCTGCATTAGTTGATGTCGCAACTGAAGTACTACTGCATAGATCGCCCAATTTTACACAGCACAGTAAAGTTGAAAATGGAAGCATCTGGAAGCCAGCTAGAATCACATGGTTAAGCGCGCAGGTCAAAAAGACCGAGATCCTGATGGAGAACTGCCGTCGGGCCATAGGGAGCCTTGGGCAAACTACTTCGCCCCACCTGCCGGTAGTTTAGGGTTTAGGGTTTAGGGTTTAGGGTTTAGGGTTTAGGGTTAGGGTTTAGGGTTTAGGGTTCGTTTTGCTGGGATTGACTTGGAAATACCTCCATGTGCAGTATGGCCCCATTATCCCCACGTGGCCCATGTCAGACGTAGCCTTCCTAGGCCCCCCAAAAAATGCAATCCGGTTCAGAGGGCAGCTTGGGGTTCTAAACCCTGAACCCTGAACCCTGAACCCTAAACCCTAAACCCTAAACCCTAATCCCTAAACCCTAAACCCTAAACCCTAAACCCTGAATCCTAAACCCTAAACCCTAAACCCTAAATCTGAAGATCTCCTCCTGCACCAGCCTCCAAGGATCCGAATAAAGGAGACCAAAGAGGTCTACGAGGGCGAGGTGACGGAACTGACCCCCGAGGACACACCGAGCCAAAGTGCAGGTATGGGTTGAGGGCTTAGGTTTGGGGCCTAGGGTTTGGGGTTCAGGGTTTGGGGTTTAGGGTTTAGGGTTTAGGGTTCAGGTTTTTTAGGGTATAGGGTTCAGGGTTTGGGGTTGAGGGTAACAAGTGCGGTGCCATCGAGCCAGAATGACATCCCGCCATGACCTGGGGTTTCGGACGCAATCCCCGCCCCAGCCTGCACCTACGCCTACACCTCGTTGTAGTAGTAGCAGTAGCAGTAGCAGTAGCAGTAGCAGTAGCAGTAGTAGTAGTAGTAGTAGTAGTAGTAGTAGTAGTAGTAGTAGTAGTAGTAGTAGTAGTAGTAGTAGTAGTAGTAGTAGTAGTAGTAGTAGTAGTATTAGTAGTAGTAGTAGTAGTAGTAGAGTAGTAGAGTAGTAGAGTAGTAGAGTAGTAGAGTAGTAGAGTAGTAGAGTAGTAGAGTAGTAGAGTAGTAGAGTAGTAGAGTAGTAGAGTAGTAGAGTAGTAGAGTAGTAGAGTAGTAGAGTAGTAGTAGTAGTAGTAGTAGTAGTAGTAGTAGTAGTAGTAGTAGTAGTAGTAGTAGTAGTAGTAGTAGTAGTAGTAGTATAGTAGTAGTAGTAGTAGTAGTAGTAGTAGTAGTAGTAGTAGTAGTAGTAGTAGTAGTAGTAGTAGTAGTAGAAGTAGAAGTAGAAGTAGAAGTAGAAGTAAAAGTAGTAGTAGGAGGATGAGGAGGAGGAGGAGGAGGAGGAAGAGGGGGAGTAGGAGTAGTAGGAGTAGTAGGCGTCAGCAGGGTCGTAGTACCACCACCACCACTTTTGCTCCGCTACTGTGCTACTCCGCTGCTACCACTACCACAGCCACTACCACAGCCCCTACCAATGAAACTATCACGGCAACTACTACTGAAAGGCAAAAATGACTTGCGCCATGAAAGGAAGGTGATCTCGTGGCTCAAAATTCTCTGGAGCTGTGCGCTAGCAGACGCAACTGCTGTGATGCGATTGTAGAATTTCCGAATGCAGGCAGTATTGCTAAGACAAAGTAGTCTTCGTCAGAATCGCTGGGGTGGTTGCAGAGGAAAGCGCAGCACAGGGCGCTTTTGACGAATCCAGTAGCGATGGAGCTCTGTTGCTCTTGAAGGTGACGACGATAAAGTGGTGGCGATTGCCTAAACCCGAAACCCGAAACCCTAAACCACAAACCCTAAACCCGAAACCCTACACCCTAAAACCTAAACCATAAACCATAAACCCGAAACCCTAAACCCTAAACCCTAAACCATAAAGCCCACGTCATTCAAACTTACGCCGACCCGGTGTGCAGGAGAGACCCGACCCCACGGGAGGTTATGGCAAGAAGGTCACCGCCGTCGCTTGATTGCAATAGAGTGGACCTTGAGCCTGCAACTTGTAGCTGCCCTAAACCCTAAACCCTAAACCCTAAACCCTAAACCCCAAACCCTAAACCCTAAACCCTAAACCCTAAACCCTAAACCCTAAACCCTAAACCCTAAACCCTACCCCTAAACCCTAAACCCTAAACCCTAAACCCTAAACCCTAAACCCTAAACCCTAAACCCTAAACCCTAAACCCTAAACCCTAAACCCTAAACCCTAAATGGGTGCGGCAACCCTGGACAGGACGTGTGTTGTGGAGGTCTTGAGGCATGAATACCCCAAGTCCTCCCTTCCACACTCTAGGGCAGTCTCGGAGCCTGGGTGTCTAAAGTAGCAGGAACCCAGACCCTAAACCCTCAACCCTCAACCCTCAATCCTCAACCCTCAACCCTCAACCCTCAACCCTCAACCCTCAACCCTCAACCCCTACCCCCACCCTGGTTGCCAGCTCAAAGTGTTGAGGAGTTGCAAGTCAAGCTGGCGCCTCCTGAAGCTTGAAAGTTGAAACTCATTGCCTTCACGACCATTAAGAGTTAGGGTTTGGGGTTTTGGTTTAGGGTTTAGGGTTCAGGGTTTGGGTTTAGGGTTGCTTCCTGCACCGTGCCCCTGGAGTCCCCCCGAAAAACCAAAAGCAACCAAAGCGCGGCCCAGCAATTCCCCCAAAAGCACTTTACACGCTAAACCCTAAAGCAAGCCTAAACCCTAAACCCTACACCCAAACCTCCAACTGGCCCTGTTCTCAGGTGGTGATAGGTTTGAAGACAACGCAGGGGATCCAAGTCCCAGTTCAGAGTTTGGGCAAGGGTTTCGGGTTTGGGTTTCGGGTTTAGGGGGCAGCAATCTGCAACTTGTCATGGGCATGTAGGGGCGGGCGGGCGGGCGGGGAATGGATGGGGTGTTCCTACCCTAAACCCAAACCCTAAACCCTAAACCCTAAACCCTAAACCCTGAACCCTAAACCCTAAACCCTAAACCCTAAACCCTAAACCCTAAACCCTAAACCCTAAACCCTAAACCCTAAACCCTAAACCCTAAACCCTAAACCCAAAACCCTAAACCATAACCCTAAACCCTAAACCCTAAACCCTAAACCCTAAACCCTAAACCCTAAACCCTAAACCCTAAACCCTAAACCCTACACCCTAAACCCTTAACCCTTAGCCCCTAAACCCTAAACCCTAAACCCTAAACCCTAAACCCGAATGTAGCTGGAGTCCGTGCGATGCCCGACTCCGAGCCCCAAGCCCCACGCGCTAAATCCTGAACCCTAAATCCCCTGACCCGCAAGTCGCCCAAAGCCCTCAACCCGAAGCCCCCAGCACTCAAGCCCTCAGACCCTAAACCCTAAACCCTAGACCCTAGACCCTAAACCCTAAACCCTAAACCCTAAACCCTAAACCCTAAACCTAAACCCTAAACCCTAAACCCTAAACCCTAAACCCTAAACCCCTAAGTAAACCCCTAAACCCTAAAACCCTAAACCCCTAACCCCCTAAACCTCTAAGCCACCCTGAGTCCCTGAGTCCCTCCAACTTTGCCCTGATCCAGCTGCTCGCGCGCAGGAAGGGTACAAAGACCCTGAAGTTGGCGCCCCAAATCTATGAAAGCCTGCAGAAGGAGAAGGTCACAGCACACGCCTCAGACACCAGGGCTTAGGGTTTAGCGTTTAGGGTTTGGGGTTCAGGGTTTAGGGTTTTAGGGTTTTAGGGTTTAGGGGTTTATACCGTGACTGTGCACCTCGGAAAAGGGTAGATGTACACCACAGCTAAGGTGCGTTTCCCCTGATTGAGGGTACAAAGGCTAGTCTTCTTCGAGTTTACCCCCTTAAAACCGAGTGCCCGCCCCAAACCCTGAACTCTCAGCACCCTTCTGCCGAACATCCCAAATCTTGGGCCCTGTTTCGGGCTTGGGGTTTTGGGTCTAGGGTTTAGGGGTTTAGGGGTTTAGGGTCTTGCCTGTCATCTTTTCAAGCCCCACTGGCTACTGCAACCGTGAGGGCGTGGCACCCTTAGCCCTAGCATGCAAAACCCTAAGCCCTAAACCCCTAAACCTCTAAACGCCTAAACTCAAAGCCCCAGGTGGGCGATGTCATCTACATCGAGGCAAACAGCGGTGCTGCAAGAAGAGCCTCCGCCCCGGATGTTCGGTGGGGGTTCAAGGGTGCGGGGTTCGTCACCCTGTGTCCTAAACCCTAAACGCTAAACCCTAACCTCTAAACCCTAAACCCTAAACCCTAAACCCTAAACCCTAAACCCTAAACCCTAAACCCTAAACCCTAAACCCTAAACCCTAAACCCTAAACCCTAAACCCTATAGGTCCAAAAGACCCTAAAGGCCCTGAAGGCCCTAAAGGCCCCGAAGGCCCTAAAGGCCCTAAAGGCCCTGAAGGCCCTAAAGGCCCTAAAGGCCCTAAAGGCCCTAAAGGCCCTAAAGGCCCTAAAGGCCCTAAAGACCCTAAAGACCCTAAACCCGAAACCTTCAAGACTGTGGACTTATTTGACTTGCGGTTCCATTTTCTCCGATGCTGAGGTGGGCCGTAGCGATAGCTTCGCGACCGAGTTCGATCTCGAGGCTGATGAGTGCGCCGCGGTTTAGGGTTTAGGGTTTAGAGTTTAGGGTTTAGGGTTTAGGGTCTTAAGTCCCTGCTTCGGGTTGCTTGAGGTGCCATGAGTACTTCAGCCCTCTCAACCTTATCAAACATAAACTCCTGAGCCCTCGAAACCCTAAACCCTAAACCCCAGACCCCAAACCCGAAGCCCTAAGCCCTAAACCCTAAACCCCAAACCCGAAGCCCTAACCCCTAAACCCCAAACCCTAAACCTTCTGAAGTGGAAACCCGAAGCCGCAAAAGCATGAGAGCCCCTGGCAGCCGCTCTCTGGAGATGGGTGAAGGTATGTGCCGGTGCCGAAGGGCGATGTGCACAAGAAGAAAGAGGTTGTACAGGACCCTGCGCGGCTTCAGCATGTAGAGCCCTCAACCCTCAACCCTCAACCCTGCACCCTAAACCCTAAACCCTAAACTCCAAACCCTAAACCTTAAACCCAAAACCCTAAACCCCGTACCCTAAACCCTAAACCCTAAACCCTAAACCCTAAACCCAAAACCCTAGACCCTAGACCCTAAACCCTAAACCCTAAACCCTAAACCCTAAACCCTAAACCCTAAACCCCCCCACCCAGCAGTGCTGCAGGATGTGACCCTGCATGACTTGGACCAGGCCAACGCCAAGCCACAGGGTGGTCAGGAGCCGCAAGATAGGGTTTAGGGTTTAGGGTTTAGGGTTTAGGGTTTAGGGTTTAGGGTTTAGGGTTTTGGTGTCAGGGCCTTTAGGGGGCTTTGAGGGTTTAGGCGTTTAGGGTTTAAGGTTAGGACTTCAGGTTTAGCCTTTTGTAGGTTTTGGGGTTTAGGGCTCTGAGGTTTTAGGGTAGGGTTCCGTTAAGGGTTTAGGGTCTATGGCTTAGGGTTCTACCCACCATGCTGAAGCATTAAGCCTGACTCCCTTTAAGCACCGTTCAAGTTTTAGGTCCTACCGGGATTTAGGGGAACCCTAAACCCTAAGCCCCATGCTTCAAACCCTAAAGCAAAATAGGGGTCAAGGGTCCTTTCTGGGGATAAAATTGACCCTAAACCCTAAACCGTAAACCCTAAACCCTAAACCCTAACCCTACACCCTACTCCCTAAGCCCTAAACCCTAAACCCTAAACCCCAAACCCTAAACCCTAAACCCTAAACCCTGAACCCTGAACCCTAAACCCTAAACCCTAAACCCTGCCTTTTCTTCGGAGGACCTGCAAAGCCTCATGGGCAGCTTCCTCAAGCCCCGGAAAACGGAGATCACCGAGAAGCTCCGCCTAGAGATCAACAAAGTTGTAAACAGGCGCGCCGGCTTTGGGGTTAGGGTTTCGGGTTTAGGGTTTAGGGTTTGGGGTTTAGGGTTTGGGGTTTGGGATTTACCCTAAACCCCGAAACCCCCTAAGCCCCTAAAGCCCTCTAAGCCCCTGAACCCCTCAGGCCTGGGCTTAGGGTACAGGGGAGGAGGGGTGCTGCTTGGTTTTGGGATGGCTCGTGTGCTTTGCCCTGGCAAGACGAATCCTGCAATTTGAAGCTGTCCTTCCAGGGAGACCCTGAATGGGCAGAATCATGATGGATATTGATGGCAGTTTCCAACCTGCATAGCCTTTTTGTGCGTCTCGGGGCTAAGACCATGCGGGAAGATGCCCGAAGTGTAAAAGGCGTTTGGTGAGTCACCTGTCACGTCTGATTTTGCCATGGCAATCCTGTGCTGGAGGTACATCGACCAAGGCATAGCCGAGCTCATTCCGGGCGTGCTTTTCATAGATGAGGCCGGGCCCGGATCATTTTGAGGACCAGCACTGCGAACATTTGGGGACTCACGACAACAGGGGACCCCTAAAATAGACCCCAAATAGTAGGATCCCCTTACAATAAGGGCCCCGCACCGCCTAATATCGTAAACCCCCCATTTCCTTCCTCATAGCGCGGCTAGACGTCTTCCCTGGCAGGTGCACATGCTCGACATTGAGTGTTTCACATATCTGAACAGGGCACTCGAGTGCAGACCTTAGTCGAACCCCGCAGCACGCAGAATCTGAGGGGATTCGCCTGTGACGGAGATGCAGTTGCAGTGTTGCGCCAGGTCGACGCTCAGCCCCATCATCATTTTCGCCACGAACAGAGGTTCCCCTTGGGACTACTGATGACTGGCTGGTTCTAATGAGGGAATGAGGGAATGAGGGAATGAGGGAATGAGGGAATGACGGAATGAGGGAATGAGGGAATGAGGGCCCCATCTATACCCTTTGAGGAATTAAATAGGGCCCTCAATCCCTCATTCCCTGCTCAGAACCAGCCAGATGAGTGTGCCCTAAACCCTAAAACCCTAAAGCCCTAAAGCCTAAACCCTAAACCCTAAAACCCTAAAGCCCTAAAGCCTAAACCCTAAACCCTAAACCCTGACCCCTAAACCCTCAACCCTAAACCCTAAACCCTAAACCCTGAGAAGTCGCCACTGCAAGGTATCTGCACCATCCGTGGCACGGACATCGTGGCACCTCACGGAATCCCTGTGGACCTGCTGGACCGGCTTGTCATCATCAGGACCCCCCCCCACATCTGAGGGTTTAGGGTTTAGGGTTTCTGGCGGCTGACTTCTTAGCAGCTTGTGACGTTGTGGCCTTGGAACATGGTCTCAAGATAAGAGTGGGATGAGAGGCACCCACTTCAAAGGACCATGCCATACTCCGTGGATGAGATCATCCAGGCCGGTCCGGTCAGAGTACATGTATTTCTTTACTGTCGTAAACTGTTCCTAGGTCTCACCTCGACTTGCCCGCAAGCATGCCGTGTGTACGTGAAGGGTACATATATAGACGATCAGAAGTGTACGAATGTAATACGTACATATCTATATATACAATTTAGATGTGTAAAAAGTATACATCGCGTTTGCCGGCTTTGCTTCCCTGTACCGCGCTTGGTGCAGTGCCCAAGGTGGCCGGGGGTAGGTTGGAACATATCTTTCTTGTTACCCTTTATCCCGATATAATCCTTATAAAGCCCTGAAAATGTATTTTGTAGAATGGCCCCTCAAGCCATCCGTGGATGTGCATGGCTATCCTCTGTACTGAAGCCCTGAAACCCCCTAAGCCCCACACATGCACAACAATTACCCTAGACCCTAAACCCTAAACCCTGAACCCTAAACCCTAAACCCTCAACCCAATGACTACCCAGCCATGAGCCTCATGGAGCCAGGTTGTGAATATCCGGGCGCAGACAGAAGCTCTTACCCTTGAGGAGGATGCACTTGCACGGGCCCCGGTGGTCGTCGGCCTCCTCAGACGGGGTTTAGGGTTTAGATAGGTTTAGGGTTTCGGGTTTGGGATTTAGATGGGTTAGTGTTCGGGGTTTCGGGCTCAGGGTTGAGGGTTTGGGGTGGTCCTGTCTTCGCCATTCTGATTGAAGAGGTCCTGCTTGGTGAGATTGGCGCGAACACGTCGCTGCGATACGTTGTCCAGCTGCCCGGGACCAAGCCGTCGAAAGCCACAAGGGAAAGAGTTGGGAAGCCCCAGAAGGAGGTTTAGATGATGATGCAGAGGGTTTAGGGTTTAGGGTCTAGGGCTGTTTAGCGCGTTTCCTGTCAGGAGGTATTTCCCCATGAAGAGTCTTTTCCTGATTGCCTTGTAGCTACAATAAAGCTCCGAAGCCTGCCGACGTCAATCAGCCATCAGCCCCCCCCCCCCCCCCCCCCCCCCTTTCCAGACAACTCATGTAGCCGTCAGAAGAATTTCTAATGGTATTTTACAAAAACAACCCCCCCCCCCTCCTCCCCAAAAAAGAAAACCTGTTCTAATTATTAAGGCCCCTCGATTACTTAATGATTAAAGCCCCTGGAAAATGTTATAGGGGCCTTAAGAACGACAGTTAGTAGAGGGTCCCTAAACCCTAAACCCTAAACCCTAAATCCTAAATCCTAAACCCTGGACCCCAGACCCTAAACCCTAAACCCTAAACCCTATTCTAATTATTAAGGCCCCCAGAAAAACCATGGAGGCTCCTTTTTGCCGCGCCAACGTCTTGAAGTTGACGTACAGTCGATTCACGGTATGGCTTCGGAAAAACAAAAACCCTGGAGGCTCACCCCGGCCTCCATCCTTGCCAAGACCAATGGCCGAGAGGCGCATGGCGGTCTGCTTTGGAGAGCCCCGAACCCTAAACCCTAAGCTTTATACTTTAAACCTTAAACCCTAAACCCGAAACCCCAAGCCCTAGATCATGGAAGCCCCCCCTCCCCCCGAAACTCTCCAACCTGGGGCCCAGAGTAGGCTCTTATTCCAACTCTTTTCTCTTTTTTTTGGTGGGGGGGGGGGGGGGAGGGGGGCTTAGGCACAACTCTTCTCTTTTTTTTTTTTGGGGGGGGGGGGGGGGTGGGTTGGGGGGCTTTGGTTCCCTTGTAAGCCACTTTGCAAAGAAGGGCATCTTGATTTTGTGTTTCACGGTTACACGTTTTTCATGTTCAGTCCTTGAAGCCAGGAGCCCACGGGCTGGCTGAAGGGCGACCTGACAGAAGATCCCAAAGCCCCACACCCCAAAGTCCAGGGCTGAAACCGCCCCCTAAACCCGATACAACCAGTTGGTTGAGTCATTCCGCGCCTTTTGCCAGGCGATAATGCGAGAAGACATCGAGGACCGCTTGCCCAACCCGAAAGCTTCTAAACCCTGAACCCTGAAAGCCCCAGTGTAAGCCCTAGAGCCCCTAGAGCCCCTAGAGCCCTTAGAACCCCTAGAGCCCCTAGAGCCCAAGATTCCCCCCAAAATTATGGTACCTTTTCCGCCCTGGGGCGTTCTCCAAAGGAGGCTTGAGGGTTTCGGGTTGCCTGTGGTGAAGTCCCTCTGAAGTGTGGATATGGTGTGCTTCCCTGAACTCTGGGCCCTCGACCCTGAAACCCTAAATCCTAAACCCAAACCCTAAACCCTAAACCCTAAACCCTAAACCCTAAACCCTAAACCCTAGACCCTAAACCCTAAACCCTAAACCCTAAACCCTACACCCTACACCCTAAACCCATCAGGAGATTGACTCGTTGTTCTTCGATGCCAAGTCAGGATCCCAGAACCCAGCCTCACACCATAGGGTGATTAGGGTTCCAGCCTCACAGCATAGGGTTTAGGGTTTAGGGTTTGGGTTTAGGTTCTAGGGTTTAGGGTTTGGGGTTTAGGGCTTCGGGTTTTTTCGGGGCTGAGGGGTTGAGGGGCTGGGGGGTGTAGGGTGCTGAGTTTTGGGCATGGGATTTGCTGTGAAGAGCCCTGAGCCCTAAACCCTAAACCTAAACCCTAAACCCTAAACCCTAAACCCTAAACCCTAAACCCTAAATCCTAAACCCTAAACCCTCCCATGAAGCTGCGCTTCGATCAAGTCGAGGTTCATGGGGTAGCGGGTTTCAGTCAATGTCGTTGCTTCAGGGTTCAGTGACTCAGGTAGGGTTTAGGGTTTAGGGTTTAGGGTTTAGGGTTTAGGTTTAGGGTTTAGGGTTTAGGGTTTAGGGTTTAGGGTTTAGGGTTTAGGGTTTAGGGTTTAGGGTTTAGGGTTTAGGGTTTAGGGTTTAGGGTTGTGGACGCGGCACGGTTTCAGAGGTGTGGCATTGTGCTTCAGGTCCTCGGCCAAATTGCTTGCCGAGCAAGCAGACAAGTGCTGTGCTCAGGCCTACTGTGGCAAGTACCTGACGGAACAAGTCCCTAAACCCCAAACTCCCAAACCCGACACCCTAAATTAAGCCAACGCTGTGTTCTTATTTGTTTGTTGTGCTCTGCGGCTCGATTTCAGGTTTTCGTTTTTGGGTTCAGGGCACAGACCCTACTGTAAACCTAGAGCTATTGACCCCTAAGCGCTAACCCTATTGAAACCCTTTTTCGACAGGATTGCTTCATTACCCTAAAACCTGAAGCCAAAACGCAAAAATCCTCTTGCAGGCACATATGCAAGGGTCTTTGCGGTTGAAGTGCAGCGTTCGTGGCAGCTTCGCAGTGAGCCCTAGGCCCTAGAATCCTAAACCCGATGGGGAAAAAGGGCAGCATGTTAGCATTTGAGTAGAGCCGATTCGCAAGCTGAGGTACATCTCCTGAGAGTCAGGATGCTTGCTGCTTTCTCACCTTTTTGTAGCCTGCATGCCCTGAACTCCATTTTTCGGATTGCACAGCACCAGCCAGCTACTACTTACTCCAAAACTCGCGAATCCTTCTAAACACGCAGCAGAAGCGCTGCAGCATGACCCGGAATGCAAGAACGCCTTCATTGCCAACAAAAAGGGAAGCATTGCTGCGTGCAGAGTGTTTCTCTGTTCTTGCGACGGTGCTGGCCTGCAAACGGTCATCCCAGCGCATTCCCCTGATAGTTGAAGTGGCAAGTGTACTTGCTAAACGGGTCTAATGCAAGTCGGACAGCACGATCTGCCAGCCGCCACGCCAGGGTCCCGAGTGAAGTGGGTTCAAGCAGCACGTGCCCGCATTTCCGAATCACAGATTAACAACACGACCTTTCAGGGTCGACTGACCACCTTTCTTGTTGAGGATCACGACACCACAGAACGATCATTGCTGTGGAGGGGTTGCAAGCCTCCTCCCCAAGCCCAAGCCTCGAAACACCGCCCCAAAAGGGTTTAGGGTTTAGGGTTTCGGGTTTAGGGTTTAGGGTTTAGGGTTTAGGGATCCGGAAACCGGAAACCGGAAACCGGAAAGCTCATCCTGGAGCACCGAGCGTGCTGAACGGGGCGAGATGCAGGCACGGGTTCATTTTGGAAGCTGGGGGTTCTTGGACAGCTTGCAGTTCGAAGGATTGGCCCTTGGGTTTTAGGGTTTAGGGGTCCCAAAATATGGGGGTTTATGGAAGTAAGGGCCCCTAATATAGACCCCCCAAACAGCAGGATTCCCTTATCATCAGGACCCCCAAGCATCGCGCGCCATCTTTTCTGAAGCTTGGCACGCGGCAATAGAAACCCTAAACCCTAAACCCTAAACCCTAAACCCTAAACCCGAATGCCACCTGTCGAGGTGGGGGCTCCCTGAGCCTGTCCTAGAATGCCAGGAGCTAAGACGCCCAGCCAGAAGTTTTCAGCTGGGACCTGCTGGTTCAGGATTTAGGGTTTAGGAGTGCTTAAGGAAAGCAGGCCAAAAACCCTTAACTTAACCCTTAACCCTTAACCCTTAACCCTTAACCCTTAACCCTAAACCCTAAACCCTAAACCCTAAACCCTAAACCCTAAACCCTAAACCCTAAACCCTAAACCCTAAAGGTCGAAGGTTCGCTACTGCATACATAGCGACGCACCTGGGGTTTAGGGTTTAGGGTTTAGGGCTAGGGTTTAGGGTCTAGGGTCTAGGGTCTAGGGTCTAGGGTCTAGGGTCTAGGGTTTAGGGTTTAGGGTTTAAGGTTTAGGGTTTAGGGCTTAGGACTGCATATGGAAGACATACTCCTTCCAGGGTGTCTGAGGGAGAGCTAAACCCTACACTCCAAGTCCCTAAACCCTAAGCCCGAAACTCTAAGTCCCCTAAACCCCACACCCTAAACCCTAAACCCTAAACCCTAAACCCTAAACGCCAAACCCCAAACCCTAAGCCCTAAACCCTATAACCCTAAACCCTGCAGTATCCTCCAGCCCTTGGGCCTCTCCAATCCCCCGGAGGCGGACCTGAGCCCTAAACCCTAAACGTTAAACCCTAAACCCTAAACCCTAAACCCTAAACCCTAAACCATAAACCCTACACCCTACACCCTAAACCCTAAACCCTAAACCCTAAACCCTAAACCCTACACCCTAAACCCTAAACCCTAAACCCTAAACCGAGGCGGACCTGAGCCCCAGGCATGCGCCGGCGCCTGGAGAAATGGCCCGCGGCCCTTCGTGGAGGGTTTAGGGTTTAGGGTTTAGGGTTTAGGGTTTAGGGTTTAGGGTTTAGGGTTCAGGGTTCAGGGTTCAGGGTTCGGGGTTTGTAGTTTAGGATTTCGGATTTTTAGGTTTGGGGTTTGCGGTTTTGGGTTTTGGATTTTGGGCTCGGGGTTTATAGGGTTTAGGGTTTTGGGGTTTGGGGTTTGGGATGAAGCCCTGAACCCTACACCCAAAACCCCAAACCCTAAACCCTAATGCGGCTTAAAGGAACATTCCTGAAGTAAGAGCGCATGTGCGTCTCTGGGTAGCCAACCCTAAACAAACCCGAAAGCCTCAACCCTGAACCCCAAACCCTAAACCCCAAACCCCAAACCCCAAACCCCAAATCCCAAACCCCAAACCCCAAACCCTAAACCCTAAACCCCAAACCCTAAACCCTAAACCCTGATCCCCAAACCCTGAACCCTGATCCCCAAGCCCTGAACCCTGAACCCTGAACCCTGAACCCTAAACCCGAAATACCCCTAAACAATCAGGTCGCAAGGCTGGGTCACACCTTCTGGGCGCAACCAGCCGCGACAGAGGCTCCGTTGGAAGCCGCGAGGTTAAGGGCTTTCGTGGCTTTCGGGTTTTTGAAGGGTCTGAGGGTTTTAAGGGTGTTAAGGGTTTTAAGGGTTTTAAGGGTTTTAAGGGTTTGAAGGGTTTGAAGGGTTTGAAGGGTTTGAAGGGTTTGAAGGGTTTTAAGGGTCTAAGGCAAAGGGCTAGGGTTTAAGTGCGTCTACGGGCTGAAGGCTTTGAAGGTCTGAGGGTTTGAAAGTTGGGCTAGAGTCCAAGCAAAGAGTCCAGGCTTTTGGGTTTAGGATTTAGAATATGAAGGGTTTGGCAGAAGCTGCATTTGTGTCTGGAAGGAGGGCACCTGATTTTCGTCTTTGAGGGCACCTGGGTTTCGTTTTTTTTTGGGGGGGGGGGGGGGGGCACTTAAACTTACTTAAGCCTAAGCCCTCAGGCTTATAGTAACCTTGCCACCAACCTTCAACAGGGTTTAAAGGGAAGCGAACCACAGAACCATGGAGCTTAAGAGCCTTTTTTTGCACCCTACTGTAAGATCCCAAAGCCTGACGCGTAACACAGGCCAACCTCCCTTCAAGCCCTAAACCCTAAACCCTAAACCTTAAACCCTAAACCCTACACCCTACCTAAACCCTAAACCCTACACCCTAAACCCTAAACTTCCTCTTGGGAGGCACACCGGAAGCCATGTTGGCAGCAAAAGCAGCCTCTCCTCGACGTCCGATGCAGGCAGGGCGCAGTGACATACACAGACCACTCGAATTGTGCCTTAACCTTGAACTCTAAACAATAAACCCTAAGCCTCTCCTTCACATATACATATATATATATATATGGTCACTTCTCTCAATTATGGTCCATTTCGGGAATACTGTTGTGAGGCGGCTCCTAATATATGGGGTACCATGATTTTGAGAACAGACCAAAAGAATTTGCCCCACAGAACCCTAGTGTGTTTTTTTTGGGAGGCCATGGAGAGGGTCAGGGTTTATAGGGTTTAGGGTTTGGGGGTTTAGGGTTGCGGGTCTCGAAACCAGCGCATGGAGAGCCTCTTTGGGTTTTGCAATGTAGGAGTGCATTTATCTTTTCGTAGGGGGGGGTGTAGAATATGGACACCCTGAATATCCGTGCCCAGCAGAACCCCACACCCGTCAACAAACCCTAGTGAGTAGCGACGTTCAATGGGAATCTCGGAACCCAAAGACTTTTGGAAGGAGTCATCCCTAAACCCTAACCCTAAACCCTAAACCCTAAACCCTAAACCCTAAACCCTTAACCCTAAACCCTAAACCCTAAGTCCGAAACCCTAAACCCTAAGCCCACCCTGATCCCATGGCACAGAGGTTGACTCGGAGTTGTGAACCCTTGACGCCCCAGGCACGGAGAGCGTGGAGCTGTCGGCCTCTTCCCCCACTGCACAGGCTAGGGTTTGGGGTTTTAGGGTTTTAGGGTGTTAGGGTTTTAGGGTTTTAGGGTTTTAGGGTTTTAGGGTTTAGGGTTTAGAGTTTAACACACCTTGCGCGAGCTGAGTGTCGGATGGTGTTTTTGTTTAAAGGGCTTTGTTGGGGCTTTTTAGGGCTTAGGGGCATTTTCGGGTTGTTTTTGGGGGGTTTAGGGTTTAGGGTTCAGGGTTTGGGGGTCTAGGGTTTTTCGGGGGTGTTGGGCGTTTTGAGGTTTCGGGTTTAGGGTTTAGCTGCGTGAACCTGCGTGGCCAACATCTTGTAGATCCTTCTTTAAGGGAGTTTAGGGTGTGGGGTTTAGGGTTTGGGGTTTAGGGTTTAGTCTTTTTATATTTTTTTTCCGACGTCATCCGCCTGCGGAACATCCTGAGCTATGCAAGAGCAGTCTGACTTGGCTTCTGGGTGGCGTGCAAGTGCAGCAATTTTGCCTCCCTAGGTAGGCCTTTAAAATATTTTCCATTTGCTCTTATTGGGTTCAAGAGGACCATATCTGGGGTTTAGGGTTTGGGGTTTAGGGTTTAGGGTATAGGAGTATTTTTCAGAGGGCTTTAAGGGGCCATCTGAGTTCCTTACTGAGCCACTCCCTTTCACCCCCAGCTACCTCAACCCAACCGCCGACTCCGGGGGGGCCCTGCAGCTTAAGACCCTATGAAACAGGGTTTAGGGTTTAGGGTTTAGGGTTGAGGGTTGGGGGTTTAGGGTCTTATACTACTGTTATTGATGAGTGTATATAAGGTTCCTTTTTCATATTGGTGAGTGTATATATTGGGCGTCCTTTTGGGGATGCAAGGAACATAAACCCTACGTTCGTGCCGAAGGGCTTGCGGTTCCGGAGGAGCTCTTAATGATTTAAACCCTACTCATGTGGGGTTTGCGATAGTAAGGGACCCCTTACATAGACCCCAAGTAGTAGGATCCCCTTATAATAAGGACCCCAATCAGGTACCCTTAAACATCGTAAACCCCCCCATAAAGCCCTAAACCCTAAACCCTAAACCCTAAACCCTAAACCCTAAACCCCAAACCCCAAACCCGAAACCCTAAACCCTAAACCCTAAACCCCAATAAGGTACCCTTAAAAAATCGTAAACCCCCGTAGTCTGAGGATGCCGACGGCTTCTTCGTGACGGCCCCGCCGAGGATGGAGGCACCGGCTTAGGGATTTTCAAGGTTTTAGGTTTAGGGTTTAGGGTTTAGGGTTTAGGGTTTAGGGCTTGGGGTTTAGGGCTTAGGGTTTTGGGTTGAGGGTTTAGGAGCCTTAGAAAGGGAAAGAGGGAACCTATTTGAGGGTTATTTGTATCCACTCCCAGAGCAGCTTGAGGGTTCCCCCCCACCCACCCGCCCCAGATATGTTTAGGGTTTGGGGGGGTTTAGGGTTTAGGGTTTAGGGTTTAGGGTTTGGGGGTTTAGGGTCTAGGGAGTATTCCTCTGCAGTCCCCACAGTATTCCCCGTCAATCTTGCTTAGTTCCTAGGGTTCTCGAGGGCGGATGCTTGACATGAGAGGCTTGGGTGTATAGAATGAGAGATGCAGGGTTTAGGCCTCAGCCTATTCGTTCCCAAGCCCGGGAACCGAAACCTTTTTAGGGTTTCGGGTTTAGGGTCTACGTAGGGTTGAGGGCTTAGGGTTTGGAATTTGTGTGCGCGTGTGGGTTTAGGGTTCGTCGACGAGTTGAGTCTCGAGTGCTTTGATGCTCTTGGATCGTCCCCGAAGTTGACGACACATGTGTCCGCTGCGCGTCGGCAGGCTCCACCTGAGCATGTCGAAGAGATGCCCGTGCTGGTGGAAGAGGCCTCGGCCCTAACCCCTGCAAACCCTACAAGCCTCGAAGCCCCCCCAAGCTCTGTACCCGAAATCCCCTAAACCTTAGAGTCCGCAAAACCCGCAATCCCCGTACCCGGATCTTAGGTCGGGATCTGCTTCGGCTTGGGCCCAGATAAAACCCAGATAAGAAGCTGCTGTATTTGATGATATTTACCACCCTCCACTCGCACCACATGAAAAAATAGGGATCTCAACTGCGGTGCTGCTTCGATGTTGGAGGCTCCTGGCAGGTTGGATCCTTGACCACATTTGGTGGGTTCCCTAAACCCTAAACCCTAAACCCTAAACCCTAAACCCTAAACCCTAAACCCTAACCTAAACCCTAAACCCTAAACCCTAAACCCTAAACCCTAAACCCTAAACCCTAAACCCTAAACCCTAAACCCTAAACCCTAAACCCTAAACCCTAAACCCTAAACCCTAAACCCTAAACCCTAAACCCTAAACCCTAAACCCTATACCCTAAACCCTAAACCCTAAATGCGTGTAAGGCACTGCCCCGAATCAGGGCACTTCAAGCCTAAACCCTAAACCCTAAACCCATTTTGCTGCATTCGGGGGGCCTTCCAGGTCCTGTGCTGCTGCCACCCCCGTCATGGCAGCCTCACGCAGGAGCCACGTCTCAAGCTGTTGGTGCCTGGACTGGCCCTAAGCTAGGGTTTAGGGTTTAGGGTTTAGGGTTTAGGGTTTAGGGTTTAGGGTTTAGGGTTTAGGGTTTAGGGTTTAGGGTTTAGGGTTTAGGGTTTAGGGTTCAGTTTAGGGTTTGGTGTTTAGGGCTTAGGGCTTAGGGTTTAGGGTTTAGAAAGTATGAGGAACAAGAGCCACAAGCACGGCCGCTTTGTTGATGGGAGAGTTGTCCATGTCCCATGTCAGCGCATGCTTCTCTGTACATGCCTTTGCCCCTGAGGCAAATGGAGCTATTTCTGGAGTAGCTAAGTCTTTTTTCTCTTGCACTTCTGCAGATGTGTTCTGCTATGAAAAAAAGGTTTAACTTGAGGTTGTGGTGGCGAAGCGATCAAGACCGTCAAAGCCAGGTTTTTTCGGGGTTTCGGGCTTAGGGTTGAGGGAATCCAGAACTAGAGCGCGCACGCTAAACCCCAAAAGATGCCCGAGGTCGGGGTCCTGTCAAGTTTCTGGCGCTGAAGTGCACTACTGGGGTCGGAAGAATTACTGGTAGTATCCCCTCATAGTACTTATTTCAATATACGAGAACCTTACCCCCCCCCCCCCCAAACCCTCTTCTAACTTCAAAGGCCCAGTCATGAAACTCCTACCTCTCTGAGTGTCATTTGAAAAAATGGTAAGAGTCGATGTGGCCAGTTCTCAAAATGTTGGTCCCTTATTTGGGTACTCTAAACATTTGGGGGCCGCCTTACAATGGCGAGTCGAAAACGAACCAGAATCTAGAGAAGTGACTATGACTATCTGGTGGTTGAGACTGGAATCCTAGAACGAACCCCTAAACCCTAAACCCAAAACCCTAAACCCTAAACCCTAAACCCTAAACCCTACACCATAAACCCCAACAAGGTCAAGCTCCTGATGCTCAACCTTCGAGTTCCCATTGACCTTCACATGCCGAAGTCCTCAACCCTTTAGAAGGTTTCAGGGTTTAGGTTTAGGGTTTAAGGGCTTCAGGGCTTAAGGGTTTGAGGGTTTAAGGGTTTAAGGGCTTAAGGGTTTAAGGTTTTAAGGGCTTAAGGGTTTAAGGGTCTAAGGGTTTAAGGGTTTAAGGGTTTAAGGGTTTAAGGGCTTAAGGGTTTAAGGGTTTAAGGGTTTAAGGGTTTAAGGGCTTAAGGGTTTGAGGGTTTAAGGGTTTACGGGTTTAAGTTTTTAAGGGTTTAAGGGTTTAGGGTTTAAGGGTTTCGGGCTAATTTCGGGTTTAAGGGTTTAAGAGTTTAAGTGTTAAAGGGTTTAAGGGTTTAAGGGTTTTCCTGTTAATCTAGCGTTTGGGGTTTAAGGGCTTCGGGTTAATTTAGGGTTTAAAGGTTTAGGGGTTTAAGGGTTTAGGGTTTAAGGGTTTCGGGCTAATTTACGGTTTAAGTTTTTAGGTTTAATTTGCCGTTCAAGGGTTTGAGGGTTTCGGGTTAATTGACGGTGTAAGGGTTTAGGGTTGAGGGGCCTTTGAGACTTCTGGAGGACGCCGCCGACGCGGTGTTTGTTCCATGCAAGCTGCGTCTGTCGGCGGAGGCTGCGCGGCACTTCCCCTTAGCACACGTGGAGCTCGTAGCTTCAGATGAAGCAGGGTTTGTATTTCTGTTATTGGTGAGTGTAGATAAGGTTCCTTTTTAAAATCGGTGAGTGTATATATTTCGTGTCCTTGTGGGGGTACAAGAAATATAAACCCTACGAAAGTATCAACCCCTGCTACAGACCCCCAAATAGTAGGATTCCCTTATCATAAGGAGCCCAAACCCGGATCCGAAGGGAGCGCTTTGTTCTCGCACTTGCGGTATCCGTAGTTTGGTCAGCGCGAGGCGACACCTTAGCCCTAAATCATCGAGCCCCTGAAGTTTCTCTGTGGCGCCTTGCAGGTCCTGCACTTCCAAGGTGCTGGTACGGATGTGCGGACCTCAAGGATCAGGGAGGAGTTTAGGGTTTAGGGTTTAGGGTTTAGGGTTTAGGATTTAGGGGTTGGGGCGTCATCCGCAAGAGGCCGCAGTCCCCAGTGGCAGCGTCATCAGATTTTGGGGCTTGTGTGAGGGTACTTATCTAAGGGACAAGGGGTATTCCGTTTGGAAATGCCCGCGTGAGTTCTTACTGGCACCTGGCTGCTCACAGCTGCCGTTTTTCTTGCGGTTTCCACTCCAACATGGCAGTCTCACACAGAGCGCGTGGCCGCACGAGTGCCCGAAGGCCCCGAAACAAGTTAATTCTCCCAACTTCCCCCCCCCCCCCCCCCACGACGACTAACTTCCCCCCCCCCCCCCTTCAAACCTACGACGACTCTGGCCCCCGAGCCGCGCGACCATGTCGTCCTTTGGTGACCGGCTGTTGCTCCGGCAAGCGACCTTCAAGAAAGGCCGGGGCAGCGGTTTAGGGTTTAGGGTTAGAGTTCAGGGTTTAGGGTTTAGGGTTTAGGGTTTAGGGTTTAGGGTGCAGAGTCCAGGGGATAGGAGTGCCGAAGCCCACCAGAAAAGCTGAGCGGCTCACCAAAATGACATTAACGATTCTATTTGCCATTCGTAATGTAAATCAAGAATATTCACGTGAAACAAAGTTTGTTTATGTACATACGTATGGAGTCTATATCAACCCTAAACCCTAAACCCCAAACCTAAACCCTAAACCTAAACCCTAAACCTAAACCCTAAAACCGAAACCCTAAAACTGAAACCCTCAACCCTCAACCCTCAACCCTCAACCCTCAACCCTCAACCCTCAACCCTAAACCCTAAACCCAAAACCCTAAACCCTAAACCCTAAAACCTTTGAGCCCAGAGGCATTGAGCCGGGTGACATGCAGCAGCGCCTTCGTGAGGTCGCCTCCGAACTGTGGAGGCATGGGAAAGGTTTAGGGTTTAGGGTTTAGGGTTTAGGGTTTAGGGTTTAGGGTTTTCGGAAGGGGGTTGCGGGGTCTTCTCGATTGCTCCCCGGATGTATCGTTTTTGGCAGTTTAGCCGTCGAAGCCTGTCTACCTTATACCCTAAGCGCTAACCGCCCAACCCCCTAAACCCTAAACCCCAAACCCCAAACCCCAAACCCCAAACCCCAAACCCCAAACCCCAAACCCCAAACCCCAAACCCCAAACCCTAAACCCTAAACCCTAAACCCTAAACCCTAAACCCTGAACCCTGAACCCTAAACCCTAAACCCTAAACCCCAAACCCCTAAACCCTAAACCCTAAACCCTAAACCCTAAACCCTAAACCCTAAACCCCAAACCCGTTCCCTGGTCTCAAAAGGCAAGACCGCGAAGGCAAACTGTGGAGTCGCCGATCTGAAGGCCTGCGAGCTTTGGGAGTGTTTGGGGGGTTGGGTTTACAGGTTTCAGGGTTTAGGGTTTGGGGTTTACGGTTTTTGGGTTTAGGGTTTGGGGTTTAGGGTTTGGGGTTTAGGGTTTGGGGTTTATGGTTTGGGGTTTAGGGTTCAGGGTTTGGGGTTTAGGGTTAGGTTTTTATGGTGTGGGGTTTGGGGTTTAAGGTTTAGGGTTTGGGGTATAGGGTTGGGGTTTTAGGTTTTTGGGGTTTGGGGTGTAGGGTTGGGGTTTGGGGTTTGGGGTTTTAGGTTTTTTTGGGTTTGGGGTTTGGGGTTGTTTGGGGTTTCGGGTTTGGGGTTTGGGGTGGTTTTGGGTTTGGGGTTTTGGGTTTAGGGTTTGCGGCTATGGTTTGAGGTTTGGGTTTTTTGGGTTTTTTGGGGTTTTTGGGGTTTTTGGGTATTTTGGGGTTTTTGGGTTTTTTTTGGGTTTTTTGGGGGTCTTTGGGGTTTTTTAGGGTGTTTTTTTAGGGTGTTTTTTTAAGGGTGTTTTTTAGGGTTTTTGGGGTTTTTGGGGTTTTTGGGGTTTTTGGGGTTTTTGGGGTTTTTGGGTTTTTTTGGGGTTTTTGGGGTTTTTGGGGTTTTTGGGGTTTTTGGGGGTTTTGGGGGTTTTGGGGTTTGGGGTTTAGGTTTTGGGGTTTGGGATGGTTTTGGGGTTTGGGGTTGTTTGGGGTTTAGGGTTTGGGGGTTGTTTGGAGTTTAGGGTTTAGGTTTTAGAGTATGGGGTTTAGGGTTTGGGGTTTAGGGTTTTGGGGGTTTAGGGTTTAGAGTTTGGGGTTTGGGGTTGTTAGGGTTTGGGGCTTAGGGTTCTTTGCCCATTAGGGTTGTTTGGGCTTTCGGGTAGTTTGGGGTTTAGGATCTGGGATTTGGAGTTTCGGGTTTTAGGGTTTTTGGCGTAGGGTTTTGGGCTTGAGGTTTGGGAATTAGGGTTTGGGGTTTGGGGTTTAGGGTGTAAGGTTGGGGTTGGGGGTTTGGAGTTGTGGCTTTCGGTATGTCTCAGGGGTCGGGAGTTTTGGGTCGAGGGTTTATGGCGCGGGGTTTGCGAAGTTGGTGTTGATGGTATCTGTGTGTGTAGAGTTTATAGGGTGTAAGCCAAAGTTCAGGGTTTTGGCTGAGGCTAGCTGCCCAGAGCCATGGTTGCCCTCACTTAAATCCGAAACTCTAGGAATAGGCTGCCGACCCTTGGCGGCACTTATGCGCTTCTTTTTCTTTTCTTTTCTTGAGGTTCTTCTGAAGTTATTATGAACTCTCTACTAAAACTATCCCTAAACCCTAAACCCTAAACCCTAAACCCTAAACCCTAAACCCTAAACCCTAGACCCTAAACCCTAAACCCTAAACCCTAAACCCTAAACCCCAAACCCTAAACCCTAAACCCTAAACCCTAAACCCTAAACCCTAAACCCCTAAAAGAAAGCAGACTGCCACGACAGGCCTGCTGGAGCAGGACATGCCAGATCAGACGGACATGATAGAGGTGCCGAGAGAGCTCTGTTTCCTCAGTGCTGCAGCTGGCTGAATGATGACAGTGCACTGTGTTTCCCTCGGTACCCTCTTTAGGGTTTAGGGTTTAGGGTTTAGGGTTTAGGGTTTAGGGTTTAGGGTTTAGGGTCTTAGAACAACCGTACAGCGGCAAGAAAGCAGACCAGCACCTTCCTGGCCTTCAAAAAAATACGACACTTAATTATTCCGAGTGCTGTTAATGCTATTATGCGCATGGGGATTGCAGTTTCGACGGCTGTAGGGGGTGGGGGGAGGATGAGCACCTGGGTCCTGGTCCCGCGAGTTTGCATGGAGCAGGGGCTCAACATGTGCGTCAGCCTCGTCAGGGCTTGAGAGACCTTACGGTACATTTCAAGGCCCCCAGAGTCAATTCAGAGTAAGGGAGCATCCCCGGGGTTCAGGATTCTTGCGAGTGCGGAGTGTAGGCTTGCAAAACCCCGCTCAAGACAAAGCAATCTCGGCCCTGACAGGTTGATCTGGCTGGGGAGGTTGATGCAATGCTGGTGGAAGACCTGATGTCTCAGCTGCCGCGACTTCGTGTCCTGACAGAAGTGCTTCTTTAAGAACTACCCGTGTGCCTCAGGCAAGATATCCTCGGGAGTTCCACAGACTTGAGCTGGAAGAGGGATCAACGAGGGCCTGGCAGATCAGCAGTCGTGTCGAGATATCCCTGTTTCCCTCAAAGCAACCCACCCTAAACCCTAAACCCTAAACCCTAAGCCCTAAACCCTAGACCCCAAACCCCAAACCCCTGTTTCCCTCAAAGCAACTCCCAAAAACCCTTTCACTTTGGATGCCAGAGTAGTGTAAGGGGTCGGAATAGTCACTCATAGTATTCCCTTATGGTCCCTTTATGAGTATACTAAAATGTCCCACCAAAACCCTGTTCTAATTTTGAAGGCCCCTATAGATGCGCATCTTGGGTTCCTTGACGGCCCAGCCCCACTGGGAGGTTCATGGGTAGTTCTAAGTGGGGTTATAAGCACGGCAACTAGAAGTATAACTGGTTCTAACCTTATGTAGGGTACTTAGCACCCTACTTCCCTAAACCCTAAACCCTAAAGAACTGCCCCTTGCCACCTTCAAGCAGAACCTTCAGGCAGCAGGCTGTTGGCCGACGAGAGTCCTTCCAAGCAGCTCGAAGCGCTTCGCCTGCTGCGGGGGCTCTGCGCGAGGGAGATGCCCGCAGGACACCCTGCGCCAGTCCAGGTGTTGAGGGCATGTAATTTGCTTTTGTTTTTGACTTCTTTTGTTTGTGCTTTTTGTGGGGAGGGGGGGGGGTTAATTAGGGTTGAGGGTTTAGGGTTGAGGGTTTAGGGCTTAGGGCTTAGGGTTTAGGGTTTAGGGTTTCGGGTTTAGGGTATCCTGTCATTGGGGGGATGTGGGGGGAGGGGGTGGAGGTGGTAGCTGCGTGCATGCACGCCAGCGCCACGTGAAGATCGGAACACCGGTCATCTTTATCGGTTTAAGGGTTTTGGGTTTGGCCGCCTAAGCAAACTCATCTTTGTTTTGTTGGTTTGCGGTTTGCACCGAGCCCCGTGTCTGCATTGTAGCCGTGCTGTAATTTCGCATTTTGCCCTTGCTTTGTTGGAGGCCTTCGGAGCCCTTGGTCGTCTTGTCGTTTCTTCGAGCCTTTTTGGAGCCTTTTTTCGACATGTCTTCTGGCCATGCAATAGTATGTTCCTGGGGTCCACTCCGTAGCAAGAAGATCTTCGGTACGTCGAAACTTTCGTCCCGATGATGTATGGCTAGGTTGTATAGCATCTCTCCATGACTACTCTTCTTTGTAGCTGCACCCCTTGTTAGACTGAAAAGGCTCAGAACGGCACCAGGCCCCAAACCCGAAACTCTGCTCTGCTAGGCCTCCTGGGAGACATCCCCGACTGCCTTGCGTCACTCGCCCGGGCGGCAGACGTTGCCGAAATCCGAGTGGAGGCGGCGATTGTGCGCTGAACCTTAGACCGCAACCCCTGAACTCCAAGAGCCTAAGCCCGGCACCTTCAAGCCCTGAACCCTAAACCCTAAACCCCTAACCCCTAAACCCTAAACCCTAAACCCTAAACCCCTAACCCCTAAACCCCTAAAACCCTCAACCCCTAAACCCCTAAACCCCAAACCCTACACCCTAAACCCTAAACCCTTTGTAAACCCTAAACCCTAAACCCTATGTAAACCCTAAACCCTAAACCCTAAGCCCTAAACCCTACCTAAACCCTAAGCCAAATCCCAATCTTTCACTGAAAACCTGTGCAGGCAATGGCGGCCCTTGCGGACTTGGCGTGCAGCTCGGTGGAGAAGGCCTGATGGCTATCATATAGGGTTTTGGGCTTAGGCTCTGCAGGGTGTAGGGTTTAGGGTTTCGGGTTTGCGGTTTAGGGTTCGGGTTTGGGTTTAGGGCATAAATAGTAGCCTGTAGACCTCAAGCAAGCAAGATGTACATAAGTTACTGTGCTATTGCGTTTTCGAGAGGTGTTTAAGGGTGAGAAACTGTTGGTAGGTTACTTGGGGGTTCCTGGATAGTTATAAGTCATAAGTCGAGTTATAAGTAAGGTAACTACAGTTATAGCCAGTTAGAACCCTACTTCGAATTGAATTACCCATGAACCTTCAAGTAGGTCAGAATTCTATGCGAGAGGGAAGGGGGGGGGGGCAGGATGAGGGAAGGCGCGGCCTGGGTGGGTGGGCGCGAAGGCGGGTTTGGGCATGCACTGGTAAAGCTTAAGGGGGGCCTGGGTGGGTGGGGCAGGCGCGAGGGGGGCCTAGCGGTACGGGGGTTTGGGCAGGCACTGAAACCCCTAAAACCTGAAACGCCTCATTGCCGGGTGAGGGGTGAAGTGGTGGTCGGGGCACACACTAAAACCAACAGGGCAGGGCGCTGGACTGGGCTTGAGGTGGTGGGGGGATGAGCAAGGGCAGCAGTGAGGGCGGCGCGGGGTTTCTAAAAGACTTCATTTTCAGGTAAGGGCTTGGGGGTAGGGTTGGGGTCAAGCTTAAGGGTGAGGGGGGAAGGCCAGGAGGGCGAGGAGCAAGGGCAGCGGTAAGTGCGGCGAGGGTTTGGACATGCACTGGAGCCCCTAAACACCTCAATCCCGGGTAAGGGAGGGCGTGAGCGCTGTGGAGCTCCTGAGCCACCTTTCCCCTTACCTGGAATATGGTGCTATAGGGGCTCCAACCCCTTGCCTCCCCTGTCCAAACCCTTGTCGCCCTTACCGTTGCCCTTGCTCCTCCCTGCCCTCCCCCCTCACCCTTAAGCTTGACCCCCCAACCCGACCACCACCCTTACCTGAAAATGAAGTGTTTTAGGGGCTTCAGTTGTCCGATTTGCCCGCGGCAGTCCCATGCCTTGGCGTCGGGACCCTGGAAGCTAGCGCTCCTGTAGTAGTGGTTTGGCAGAAGGTCCCAAGCGTGTGGCAAGCCTAGACCCTAAACCCTCAACCCTCAACCCTCAACCCTAAACCCTAAGCCCTAAGCCCCAAGCCCTAAGCCCTAATCCCTAAACCCTAATGCAAACGGTAAGGGTTTAGGGTTTCGGCTCCCTTTCTTTGAGCATGTGACACGTGTGGTCCCCTGAGCCCTGAGGTTCGAACGCCCCTAAGACTGCAATACAGCCCTTCATTGCATCTAGATATGTCAGTCAATGAAATAAATAAGCAGAAAGCAAATGAGCAAATGCATAAAAACACAGATATATCAAATCGAAGCACGTACAAAAGAATGTGCACAATCAAGAAAACATGCATACATTACATAAATATCTACACATGCACATGGATGTGTATTTGTACATGTAGATAAACTTATACACGTTAAAATCAACGAATACCAAAGAACAAACAGCATCGACAACATAACTTAACATATATGTATGTATGTACGTATGTATGCATGCATGCATGTATGTATGTACGTATGTATGTATGTATATATGTGTATATATATATATATATATGTATAGAGAGAGAGAGAGAGAGAGAGAGAGAGAGAGAGAGAGAAGAGAGAGAGAAGGTGCCTGAAAGGACTCAGTAGTTTCGAGAGCCAGCCCGAAGCCGACCATCTTGATTCCCAAAAAGCCGCTTGGGGCTTCGCGTGTCATGAACAAGAATAAGAACCCAGTACCCTAAACCCTAAAGCCTATGCCCTAAACCCTAAACCCTGAACCCTAAACCCTAAAACGGTCAACACAAAGTTCTAGTAAAACAGCGATGATCCAGGCCCTGGTGGTCGCAGAGAGCGGGGCCTTGCCCCTTTGCGTGCGGCTGCTGCAGTGCCCCGACGAGGCATGGGAGATGACAGAAGTTAGAGGCTGAGGGTTTAGGGTTTAGGGTTTGGGCTTTGGGGGTTTAGGGTTTGGGGTTTGGGGTTAGGGCTTAGGGTTTAGGGTTTGGGGTGCTTTAGGGGTGTTTAGGATAGCAATCCCAATCCCAACCCCTAGGGCCGAAAGCCCGACGCCATCCCCCAAAGCGCCCAGAGCCTGGCGCTGAAGAAGCCCGAAGCCCGGGGTTTGGGGTTTAGGGTTTAGGGTTTAGGGTTGAGGGTTTAGGGTTTAGGGTTTAGGGTTTAGGGTGTAGGGTGTAGGGTTTAGGGTTTCGGGTTTAGGGTTTAGGGTTTCGGGTCAGGGTTTAGTGTAGAGTCTTCTGTTGGTTTGTAGGAAGTCCAGACGACGTGATGAAGAAATCCCAACCCCCCCCCCCCCCCCCCCCCCCCCCTAAAAGCCCCTGAGCCAAGCTTGATCCTCCTAAACCTGGACCTAAACCCGAACCCTAAACCCTAAACCCTCAAACCTAAACCCTAAACCCTAAACCCTAAACCCTAAACCCTAAACCCTAAACCCTAAACCCTAAACCCTAAACCCTAAACCCTAAACCCTAAACCTCTCTATCACATATATATTTAAACCCTATACACCTTCGCGGCTGAGGGTCATTTCTTCGTGGCTAAGGGTCATTTCTTCGTGGCTAAGGGTCATTTCTTCGTGGCTAAGGGTCATTTCTTCGTGGCTAAGGGCAATTTCTTCGCTAAGGGCCATTTCTTCGTCGCTAAGGGCCATTTCTTGGTCGCTAAGGGCCATTTCCTGGGTGCTAAGGGCCATTTCTTCGTGGCTAAGGGTCATTTCTTCGTGGCTAAGGGTCATTTCCTTCGTGGCTAAGGGTCATTTCTTCGTGGCTCAGGGTCATTTCTTCGTGGCCAAGGGTCATTTCTTCGTGGCTAAGGGTCATTTCTTCGTGGCTAAGGGCCATTTCTTCGTGGCTAAGGGTCATTTCTTCGTGGCTAAGGGTCATTTCTTCGTGGCTAAGGGTCATTTCTTCGTGGCTAAGGGTCATTTCCTTCGTGGCTAAGGGTTATTTTCTTCGTGGCTAAGGGTTGGAGGACAGAGCTTGCTGATGAAAAATGTAAACTTTTATTTCTAAATGTTTTGGGATTCTCTGGGTGGGTGGGTGGGTTTTTTCGAGAGCCCAAACAGCTGCTCTCCTAGAGATTGCTCGACCCGGAGCTGCTGAACCCTAAACCCTAAACCCTAAACCCTAAACCCTAAACCCTAAACCCTAAACCCTAAACCATGAACCCTAAACCCCAAACCCTAAACCCTAAACCCTAAACCCTGTGGCAGGCCTTGAGCCAGGAGTCTTTCCGAGTGCTGCAGGGGGTTCGGCAAAATGCCGAGATCTTCTGAGGAAGCTGCTGGGGGGACCCTGAGGTTCTAAATCCCCAAACCCTAAACCCTAAATCCTACACCCTAAACCCTAAACCCTAATCCCTAAGCCCTAAACCCTAAACCCTAAATCCTAAACCCTAAACCCTAACCCCTAAACAAACCCTAAATCCCCTAAGGGTTTAGGCTTTCGGTTTTCAGGTGTTAAGCCCCGGAGTGTCCGGTTAAGTTGCTTTTCGAGCTCTGGTCTCCAGAAGTTTGACCCTAAACCCTGAACCCTAAATTCCTAAACCCTAAACCCTAAACCCTAAACCCTAAACCCTAAACCCTAAACCCTAAACCCTAAACCCTAAACCCTAAACCCTAAACCCTAAACCCTAAACCCTAAACTCTAAACCCCAACTCCTCGAACCTGAAAATGGAGTTGTCGAGCACTGCGCGGCAGACAGCAGCCACGCTGAAAAGAGAGTGCTGGGTGCCAAGTGGGGGCTTCCGAAATTAGGTTCAAAGAGGGTTTAGGGTTTAGGGTTTAGGGCTTTATGGGGGGGTTTACGATATTCGGGGTACCTTATTTGGGGGCCTGATTCTAAGGGAATCCTACTATTGGGGGACTATAGTATGGGTCCCTTATTTTCGTAATCCCCCAAGTGGCCCAGACACGACTCAAGTCTCGTTTGCTTCGCGGCCAAAGGAGCGTGCGGGGACGGGCGACAAGTACCCTAGATACGGTTACAAGCTATACGTATAGTTCCCTTACTTACTACCCCCACTAACTACCCATATGAACATCCAAGCAAGCCCCAAACACTCAACCCCAAACCATAGGAACCTCCGGCCCCAAGTAGTGCCTTACTGTTTGCCGCGCACCTTCGACATCGCGCGCTGGAAGCTTATGATCTTTGTCTGCAGTCCCCTGAGCCCCCAAGCCCCAAAACCCCCCAGGCCCCTGAACCCTTAAACCCCTACACCCTAAGCCTTGTTGCTCCGGTGAAGAGGCTGTGCTTGCCATCTTGCTGAGCAAGGCACTGGCAGTTTGCTGCTTTAGCATCTTCCATATCTTCCCCACCGTTCTACACGTCCTACTCACTTCCGCGTGCTCATGGGCAGGTCACAGATGTCTCGGTCCTCGGTACGGCCCAACTTGCCGATAGAAAGATGCAGGACGCAAAGGGTTCGCTCTATCTTGCACACAGTCGGAAGTATTTTTCAGAAGGAACGATAGAGGCTTGCGAGCTTTTTGCTGGCATTGCGCGTGTTGTGAGAGACTGCAGGATGGGGATGCGAATGTGCCTCGCACTCAGGTCGTGCTGATGGCCTCAGGGTCAAACAGCAAGCTGCCAGCATGAAGTCACACAGCAATGTCTATCAGCTGCCCAGCAGAACCTTGTCTTTGGATGATCATGGTGCCTAGGCTGCTGCTCTGTCTGTCGTCCTCCCCCTCCTTCCCGGTTTCCCCGAGCTCGCGGGGCTCAGTTGTGACGTTCGAAGGCAGGGCCGTCACACGCGAGAGGTTGCTGCGATGTTCAATTCCAACCGGGTTTGTGGGCATGAGGTCACGTCACCAAGGGAGGCAACCGGTTACCTCACCTCCCCTCCCTCCTTCGGTCCCACACATGTGAGTCATGTGAGGTTCAGTTGTGCTGGGTTGCAGTGAAGCTTCATTTGCGCTCAGACGACATGCCGTCCGCGTGGGAACTGCCGCCGGCGCCTCAAAAAAACACCACGGCGGATTGGCGCAACACGCGTCATGCCGGGTGGGGACCTGCTGCTTACAGAGGAAGGTTGTGCACTAAGCTCAGACTTGGGGACCCCTGAGGCCTATACCTTTCGGCAGGCTTCCCTCCAGCCGGTGCGGACCACAGAGCAGGACAGAGCTGACGGATAACCCCGAAAACCGAAGAAACCCAAGATAAACCCAAGAAAGGCCCACGACAAAACCCAAGACTTAAAACCCTGAACCTTAAACCCGAAACCCTAAACCCTAAACCCTAAACCCTTAAACCCTTAAACCCTAAACCCCAAACTCAGCCCTAGTTGCCCAGAATTGTCAGCGCCCTCCCCCCCACGACCAACCTTGGAGAGCTGTTGTCGAAGACGCCCTGGATCTTCGGGTTTCGGGGATTAGGGTTTAGGGTTTAGGGTTTAGGGTTTAGGGTTTAGGGTTTAGGGCTTAGGGTTTAGGGTTTAGGGTTTAGGGTTTAGGGGCTTGGGGCTCTAAGTGCATTCTTGCCTCTGTGTCTCCACTCCGAGCCCCTTATACTACAGTCCTTACTGGGGATTCTACAAGGGGGTACTATAATCCTTATTTAAGGACTGCTAGTGTAAGGGGGAACACCCTAGAAGGCCTGGGGACCCCAAGAAGGACCCAGTGCTCCCAAAGTCCTGGCCTAAACCCTAAACCCTAAACCCTAAACCCTAAACCCTAAACCCTAAACCCTAAACCCTAAACCCTCCCCAATGCCCCTTAGCGGAGGAAGCTGCCTTCCTGAGATGGTGGAGGAACACCAAACCCCAAATCCCGAACCCCCACGTCCCTCAACTGCGGGATGTGGGGGGCCCAGCCCTAAAACCCCTAAAACCCCTAAACCCCAAACCCTAAACCCTAAACCCTAAACCCTCAACCCTAAACCCCAAACCCCAAACCCTAAACCCTCAACCCTATAAACCCTCAACCCTAAACTCCCACTGGGTGCTCTTAGACCCGGGCTTCCCACGCGCTGGCAACTCCCGGCGAAGATCCCGGCAGGGCGGTGGCTCCAGGCGTCTCCGCGGTGTCTCAAGGGATTTAGGAAAGGTGGTGGGGTTTAGGGTTTAGGGTTTAGGGTGTAGGGTTTAGGGTCAAGGAGGTTCGAGGAGTTCTTTACTTGTTTCCCAAACTAGCGTCAACACTAGTCAAGGAAGGTTAGATCGAGTTGCGTGATAGACGCCAGCGAATCACTCGTGAAACGCCTACGGGTACACGGACACAATCCCTCGGGTGACGTCCCCGATTTCTCGGGGCTTCGAACATCGCAAATTCCACGCTTTCCGCTTGCTGGATGTGGTCGAATCGCGCTCTCGCCTCGTGCGCATTTTGTTGTGTTTATGGGGGCGGGTGCTTTCCGCCTGGCCTGGCTCCGCTGCGAATTTCGTGGCTTGCGTCGCCATGCGTCCGAAAGCGTGGCAGGCGCGTGGACCTGCGGTTTGTGCCCTTGGGTGGGTTCGCTGCGTGCGTCCAGACTAAGGGGATTTGCAAGTCGCGATGTTGGAAATCGTGGGCAGGACGTCCGGTTTCGCGAAATGCGGAATTGTCGTGGCTTTTGGACGTCGGGGTAAAGCAAGTCACGTCAGAGCTTGTATCAAGAGTTTAAAGACCTAAGAGTGTGATTCCATAAGTTGACCAGCACAGTCCCTTGAAGGGACAGCCATTGGGAGACTTCGATCGCCCAGATCCCGGTAGTGGTGACAGGCGGCAGTGCGCACCAGTGCCTTTCAGCCCTCGCATGGTCAGAAGAACCGCCGACAATTTCAAGCACGTTTAGGGTTTAGGGTCTAGGGTTTGGGGATAGAGCTAACGAGGCTCGAACGCTCAACCTCAGCAGCATATTTCCGCGGGGATGCTGCCGCCGCCCACTCAGCCTCTTACAACCGCTTTGGGCATGTAGGGAGAGAGCATCGGAGCCGATGAGGTGAACCAGGCAAAGAAAGGGTTTAGGGTTTAGGGTTTAGGGTTTAGGGTTCAGGGTTTAGGGTTCAGGGTTTAGGACATTCGGCTGAGGCTGCATGCGTCGGTGGGCCGTTTGCCGCCACAGTCGCCAGCATCCCGGCGGCTCCCTGAAGAGAGGCGCGATGCCCTGATCCCTGATGTTGAACCTGGGTCCTTGTTGGTTGTAATTTGTACATGTTTGTCATATTAAGTTCCCAAGAAGGAACAAATTCTGATCATTTTGATATGCCCAACAACAATGAAGCAGGTTATGCTCCTTCCTACTAACTTGGTCGCCCAGTGGTACCCTTTACCCTTTTTTTGGTTCTGGGTGCCCTTATAAAGTAACCAACTCAAAAACAGGTGCCCTTGTCATAATATGGTTACTGGGCTACACTATTTGCTTAAGAACCCCAAAAGAATGGACAAGTAACAACCCCTACATTACCCTTAATGAGCAAGACATTTTTGTTGTGTTTTCTTGCGGGTTCTTAAGCAATTAGTAGCACTTCTCATCGCATGGCGCTGCAGATCATTCAATGCTGTCATCGTACAACGTGTTCAGCTTTTCTTGAGATGCTGTTGTCATATACACCTGGAGCCATACATGCCGCCATGGATTTGATTCGAGGTCGTGTGTACCCCGTTGATACCCAAGTACAAATAACCCCTGTAGACCCTGCACCCTGAACTGTAAACCGAACCGTCCTCACAGCGCAGGCCTTTGCACGAGATGGTTGAGTGGGTTCGGCGAATGCTTCAGTTTGGGCCCAAGTCTTCCCTGTTTAGGCTTGGAGGTTGGGGTGTTTAGGCGTTAGGTTTCCTCGAACCCTAAACTCTAAGCACTAAACCCTGAACCCCTAAACCGGAACATGGCTTGGGGTTTTGGCTTCGCCCCTTTCTGCGCTTTAGAGGCTTTGCTGCCGAAGGAAAAGGTCGACGGTTTGATGCAAGAAGTCTGTTTGTGGGGATTGAGCGGTTCAGCGACTTAGGGGCTTGGGTTTAGGGTTTAGGGTTTAGGGTTTAGGGTTTAGGGTTTAGGGTTTAGGGTTTAGGGTTTAGGGTTTAGGGTTTAGGGTTTAGGGTTTAGGGTTTAGGATTGAGGGTTGAGGGTTGAGGGTTTAGGGTTTAGGGTTTAGGGGTTTAGGGGTTTCTCGGTTTCGGGTTTCGGGTTTGGGGTTGAGGGTTTACGGATTTGGGGGTTTGCTTGTTTTGGAATCAGGTTCCTCGGGGCGTTGCCTCTGCCCAACCTGGTTTGGGTCATTTCAGTCTCTTATGTAAGTATACTATGCGAACCCCCAAAACCCTGGTCCAATCATTACACGCAACATGGAAAGTTGACCTTTTGTCTTGCGTTAAGGCAAATCACTGTGGGGAAGCTTTTTAAGAAGTCGACCGAAACTGCGTTTCCTTCGAGCGAAGCAGTCATGCATGGGATTGTTGACAATGTCGCCGCTGTGTCAAAAGCCATTTTGAATACGGGGGTTTAGGGTGTGTGGGGATTCCTTTTTGGCAGTCGCCAAGTCTCAGATGCAAAAACGGGTTGCCTTTCCATCGCGAAAGAGGGGTATCGTTAGGTTATTGTACGGGTATCGTTCAGGGTATCGTTCGCATAGGCAAAAGTTTCTTGGATTCAACTCATGTGCGGCCCATGACACGTGGCAGGAGCTATTGTAAGTTCTCCTCCTGACACACGACCTAAACGGCCTATTCTTCGTAAGTTTTGGTAGGTTTGACTCCAGCCTTTGCTTGCGTTTCTTTCGGGCGGAGGTCCTTCAGCAACCATGTTGGATGATGTCTCCAGGCATGTTAAGCCCAAGCGTTCCTCGGTAGTTTCGATACTGGCGTACTGATTTTGGCTGCTTTATGCTGCTTTCGTGGCTGCAAAATTCATGCGTTCATTGGGGGATCCCGCAGTCGACTTCGTCAGCTTCCTGAATCCTCTGCGTTCACTGGGGTTTCACGTCTCCCCCAATTCACAGGTCGACTTTCCCGAGTCCCTGTGAGGCCCCTACTTGGAGGTTCATGGGTAGCTATAACTGGGCTTCAAAGTGGGATAACTATAGTCATAAGTGGTTATAACTTAGAACCCTACTCCTTTAAGTAGAGGAGACTGAAGGTCGCTACCATCGACCTGCCAGTCCGCTGTGGTGGTGTGGGCCGGCGGGCCCAGATGTGCGAAGACCCCCTGGGTCTTAGTAAGGAATAAGGGAAGTGGGGTTATATATAAATATAAGTATAGATATAAATACAAATATAAATATAAATACAAATAATAACTAAATAGATATAAATAAGCAAATAAATAACGAAATAAATAAACAAATAACTATATATATATATATGTATATTCTTCAAGGGGTTACATAGGGTACCTCAGTCCCTCATTCCCTACTAAGAAGCAGCCAGAAGATGAGTCAGGGGAGCCAGGGAAGCTTCAGCTTTCGGTCGAGTGCAGGGTGTAGGAAACCCTAAACCCTAAACCCTAAACCCTAAACCCTGAACCCTGAACCCTAAACCCTAAACCCTAAACCCTAAACCCTAAACCCTAAACCCTAAACCCTAAACCCTAAACCCTAAACCCTGAACCCTAAACCCTAAACCCTAAGCCCAAGTATTTTCTTGCCAATGTGGTCGCGGGCGGGAGATGCCAGGAGTGGGACTTAGATTCCCGGGCTTCGGAGTTGCTAGCACAGCAGGGTATCCCCAAACCCCAAACCCCAAACCCCAAACCCCAAACCCAAACCCCAAACCCCAAACCCCAAACCCCAAACCCCAAACCCTAAACCCCAAACCCCAAACCCCAAACCCCAAACCCCAAACCCTAAACCCTAAACCCTAAACCCTAAGCCCTAAACCCTAAACCCTAAACCCCAGCATCCCTTTCCTCCAGGTCGGGGACTCCGAAAGCATGGCGCGCAGCAGCGGGCGCGGATGCCGCCTGCGCAACGAGGAACCCATGCTGGCGCTTCGTAGGGCTTTTCGGGTTTGTAGGGTTATAAGGGTTTATAGGGGTTCATAAGGTTTAGGGTTTAGGGTTTAGGGTTTAGGGTTTAGGGTTTAGGGTTTAGGGTTTAGGGGCTATAAGAGTACACAAGGTTGTGTAAGGGCTTCATAGGGCTTTTTCGGGTCTTTAGGGTTTATAAGGGTTATGATGGGTAACAAGGCTGCTTAGGGTGTTTAGGGTTCATAAGGGTTAA